TTACATTTTCACACTTACCATTTAAGAAAACATAGTACCCTAACAGATATTTCATTGATTTTAGAAACAAAAGAACACTGTGTACTGCTTAGTTTTATGATATTTTCCTTGGTTTAATTTAATCAGTAGTGTGGCAAAACACAAATAATAAATGTATCAAATAAAGTATATGTGAACTAAAAGCTATGTTAAGATAAAATAAGAGTATTTTGTATTACCATTTGATAATTAAATATAGTTACACATGTACAACAGATTTTAGAAAACAAAAATCAACGACAATAGTTATTGATGATATTCTTTAGTTTAATTTAAGCATAGGTTTAGCAAAACACAATAACTTAATTTACCTAAATATGCATATAAAAAACAATGTGATGTGCAAGTTATGTTAAGTTAATCTAACGCATGTGAAGCAGTTAGAATTTATTTAAAGTAGCCTCCAAATTCATACAAAACATTTATACATTGTAATTTTCATACTGTTTCCATGAAAACATATCAATAACATTATTTTCACTTAGGATTATTAACTTAAGACGCTTTAAAAAATCCAAAGCAGAGCCGGAGTTGATACAGAGAATAAATAATCCATGATAAAAGGTTAGATTAAAATAAACCTACCTCATATTTATGGAAAATATTATATTTAATTTCTTTGTATCAGCTGTCTGAAATTGATGTATGCAGTTTAGCAGTTCTTCTTGTTTATATTTAAATGTCAAAGCAAATGTAAACAAACATTGTTAGTGTTCTCATCACAGCCATGGAGACCAATCAATATTTACTTTTAAAATGTTCACCTCAGAACTTTTAAAGCCACAGGGGCAAAGCCTACAGTCAGTATCGAAATGTGAATAGCCCTATAATGGTCCTTGGTACGGTAGCTATATTTTTGTAAAATTTAAGCCCAGTTGGTTCAGTAGTTTTTGCATCTATTAGTAATACACATACAGACAGACACCATTAGATTTTTATATAATAGTATATATATATATATATATATATATATATATATATATATATATATATGAATTTGAACGGATGGTGTTTTTGGCCTCTAGGGACCTCAAAACGAAAAATTAAATCGGTCCCGGGTCCAGGTCTTACCACGAGTACTACGGTAATAGCTTATTCCCTATATGTGAAATTCGCTAAAAACGTCTTTCAGACTGTACTACTTTGGAAGTTTTATATCGTCCTGCAATATGTTCTTTTATAGTCTCTAATTTCCCGATTGTCAATGGGAAGGAGTTACGGTCTACAAAAAATTGCCGTTTAGTTTGGCTGTATTTAAAAGGTTTGTATAAAAAAATAATTTTATTTTACAAAATATATGTATGTTTACTGTTAATTGGGTGAATCTAGTCTGAAAGCTGCTTAATAGAAAATATATACACAAACCCCCTCTACGGTATATGTACCGGACAGAGCTACACAACCTCAAAGATAGCAGACGTCCTACTCATTCTGTGCGATGATATATAAATAGCTAAACAAATAAACGAACAAAGGCCCCCCCGCAATAAGTGGTAACCACCGCCACCGCATCAAGTGTTAACACTAAGACAGGAAGTACGGGGTTGGCATCCTGTATTGCTAGGGTGGTCGCGTTGTACTGGTTATCTCCGCGACACTCAGGGCTCAGGATCAAGTTACCAGTTGATCTATACGACCGTAGAGAGGGGAAACTATACCTATACGTAAACAAAGCGATCAACAGACATTACGGACGTTAATAATTATTTACACTCCTCTCCACACTCCATTATACAACAAAATCATCGCTGGATAGCTAGTCCTGCTGATACAGTTCAAAGAACAACTGATGGATCCAAATCAACTGGCTGAGTAGTTATGGTGCACGCAAAACAATCACAAGGTCGCCTGTTCGATCCTGAGAAAAATCAGTAGCTTATGTTATGATGGTTTGAAACTGGACCCATATCCAGCTGTCCCTGGTTCGGTTGCTGGGCTTTAAACAATTGTAATTTAAATTTGTTGATTTTAACCTGAGCCGCTAGCACTAGAGCAGAAGTAAAGCATTTCAATCAATATCCACTAACTAACTGCTGAACCAGCTTTACAAAAAAAATGCAGACTGCAGCGAACCAAACACGACGCTTCTCACAACAACCCAGTTGCAAGACATCCAAATTGATTTGATTCTAAGAATTTTACATTGACTTCACATAAGGTACATTATTTTAAGTCCGAGTAACCATAAAACAACACAGGCCTACTTACAGTACTAATAAATAAGTGAACACATACCAATAAATAAATAGTTACTGACATTTCTAAACACTCACATCGGATTCACCAATTCCATAAACCTCCACAGCTTTTTAGGGAGCCCCAGCAGCTCTGTAAAAAGTGAACTCAATAAAATTAGTGGACTGATCAAATTTAACATTAATTTTGTATAAAGTTCTCTTCTACAGCAACGCGATTGCTTGTCCTTCAGCTTCAGCATTATGTTTTATCTATGATTATAGTCAACGTCAGCACACTCAAACGGACCAATATGAAACACAACTATTACCTTTATCATTGATTAAATATAATTTTAGTTTATAAAACTGGACTAAACGATCATAGTTTGTGATCAAAACTATCAAATATTTTAAATGTACGAATTTCAAATCGTGACCAACAAAAAATGAACCTCGAAGCTTTATGAAATAACATCTGACTGCTACCTCAGAGTAATTTTATTACTCTGAGCTGCTACTATTGGGTTCTTCTTTCCGTGCACTGAGCTAAAATTATAACTGGAGGTAGCACTGCCATGGCAGAAGAAGTCTGTCAAAAGCGTGTCGCTGATTTTGTTAGGTTGGTATAGCAGTAAGTTTTCTTATCATAGCAATGACATGGCTTCTTATAACTAGGTTGGTATAGCAGTGAGTATTTTTGTCATACTTGAATACTTTTAATACTTTTAATAATTTTCTTTGAAATGGCGACCATACAAAGTAGGTATTTTAAGCCAAGTATAATAATAGTTATAGCAATAATATGGCTTCTTATGACACCAGACTCACGCAAACATGGCGGCTGGCGACACGCATCTTTGACATTCAGTGCTACCTCCAGTTAGAATTATAGCTCAGTGTTTCCGTGGTCCCCCCTCCCTTTCGGGTTAGGTTAGGCCTGAACTAGAGTCTAAACCTTCGCTAAATCATCACGATGTTGTCCCCTGGCACTGCGGAGTGGGGGAAGCAAAGCATTCTATTGGCTGAGAAAACACCATTACCGCAATGATACGGTTTGTAGTCACCGGCCTCGGTGGCCTAATGGATAACGTGCCGGGCTGATGATCTGAAGGTACCAGGTTCGAATCTTCTCGGTATCACTAACTTTTTGTCTAAGATTTTTGCATTATCAGCAAGTTTGGTTAGGTTATGACAGTTTAATTTGTTAATTAGGTATTTGTTTACTTTAGAGGCTTCTAACGAATTTTGAAAAAAATGTTTTTTTCTCATTATTTGGCCTATTTTGAACACTTTTTACATTTGGCACTTTTGGGGCAAACGCCTATTTCACCCTGAAAATCGCGTTTGAAAATTGCAAAAAGTGCTAAAAATTTGCGTAGTTTTTTTACTATTAATGTGTTTTTACTATTACTAAGGACCTACAGAACTAAATATAATCCAACCTAACTTTATCTAATCTAACCCAACCTAACCTAACCTAACCTAACTTAACCTAACCTAACCCAACCGTACCTAACCAATGCTTAGATTAGCAATATTCCGAAAATAGCGGATTATTAGTTAAACAAAGGTTAGGTTACGTTAGGTTAGGTTAGGTTAGGTTAGGTTAGTTAAGGTTAGGTAAAGTATGGCTAGTTATTAAGTTATTATTTAAACCAATTAGCCTAAAATCACCTTAATATTTTAAATCTAACCTAACCTAACTTAACCTTACGTATACTAACCTAACTATATTTAAACTAACCTAACCTAACTTAACCTAACCTAACCCAATCCTACCTAACCTAACCCAACCCTACCTAACCAATGCTTAGGTTAGCAATATGCCAAAAATAGCGGATTTTTAGTTAAACCAAGGTTAGGTTAGGTTAGTTTAAATATACATCTGCTTATTACTACAATAATAAAAACACATTTAAAGAAAGGCAAGGGGGGAAAAACCTGATTTTCTAAGTAAAAATGGCAATTGCAGAAAAATGTTCGCAATTTTCAAACGCGATTTTCAGGGTGAAATAGGCGTTTGCCCCAAAAGTGTCAAATGTAAAGTGTTCAAAATAGGCCAAATAATGAGAAAAAAACATTTTTTTCAAAATTCGTTAGAAGTCCCTAAAGTAAACAAATACCGTTAATTAAAACATTATAAAATTCAATTTGAGCTATTATAATTTTAGAACTATTTTTTTTTCTATCAGTAAACCTTGTTCGATTTTTCATTATCAGCAAGTTTGGTTGGTTTGGTTAGGTTATGACAGTTTAATTTTATAATTAATAAATTCTAAAATTGAATTCAAGGCATTAACAATTTTATTTTATGAACAGAACTATTTTTTCGATTAGTAAACCTTCATTCGATTATTATTTTATATATTTTTTTATATAATCAGCATGTTTGGTTGGTTAGGTTAGTTTATGACAGTTTAATTTTATAAATATTCATTTTTTAACTTATTGAAAAACTGCAGCATAGGTTTATGCATGTAAAACAACGCGGGCTTGTTTGGACGCCGTCTAAAGGGGAGGTGGAGGGAGAACCATTTCCCCCACTCCGCAGCGCCAGGGGACAACATCGTGATGATTTAGCGAAAGTTTAGACTCCAGTTAGGCCTGACGGACCCCTGGCCGAGAAGAGCATCTCAAATCCAAACCCTATAGCCTATCCTTGAATATCCTCACCCTTAGAATTATCCTTCTGTAAAGTATACATACTAACTAAAACTCAAAAACAAAACAAAACATAAATGTCATTAGTGACTAACAAAAATCTATATGTTTGTTACAGATAAATGTGAAAAACTATTAACCCAGGCAACCACAAGACGATAAAAGGATACTAAATTCATAAGTTTGTGTACAATTGACTACATGGTGTTAAAATACCAAGTCAGCCAAAGGCATTAAGAAAAAAAAAAAGTGACAGAAAGAAGAAAAAAGTTCTAAACTCTTGAAATTATCTTCTTCTTATTGTTTATTTTTTGTCCTCGTCCTCTCCTCTGGTCCTGGTCCTGTCACTGTCACTGGAACTTTTGTAATGTTTATGTTTAGGTTCGCGCCTGTTAGTTACTGTAATCCTGATTTGAATCGAAAATTAACACCTTAGTTTAAACACACTTTCACTGAGGTAAGCATAGTGACTATAGAAGTAAGTAATTATAGAACACTCATTACGAAAATACATTTGAGGTTATGTTGGGATTATTTACCTTAAGTGGTAGCCCCTTGGAAATTACTTTCTAAGTACTCTAAATATTCAATATTCGACAGGTCGATGTACCGTTTCTGGTACTGGGGTTAAAGCAGAAGAATCGATCTGAAGATTCTTGGATTTGGAAGAGCCTAGATAAATTAACATCTTTTAATACCTGAGAGAACAATAAAGTTATTTGGACAATTATTAGCTCCCTTCAGAAATCTGTTGATTCTTTAGGCCTAATTTCAGATCATGATTATTTTAGCTTTTAGTTAAATTGGTTTTAAGAAGGTAAGCTCCATATTCATAGGAATGAAAGAGAAGTATCGATATTTGATGGCCTAGATAGCGCATTACATTTTAGATAGCCTAGTGTTTTTTTTTGCCCTCTTACGTCAATGGTCCATAACCTTTGTTTGATAAAAATTGTTTAGGAACACAGAGACACAAGATACAGAGGATACAAGCTTATGGAACAACCATGCGCTTTTAGCTCTGGTATATTTGGGCGGAAATGTACTTTTAACTTACTGAGCAAGGCAGAGCCCGAACGGCGATAGCCCTACACTATTTTTGTACAGCAGATGTAGCACACTTGGTCTTCCTACAGCATGAACGCTGTAGTACATGATGGTGAGGGGGAAAGGATTACAAATAGAATTTGCTCTAGACATTAGTGACTGGTACTAGACACAACTTAGGTGCTCTGTTTCTTACTTTTCTGTGTTAGGACAAACAATTTAAGGAAGAGTGTCGTTCTCAAAATTTGACGTTTCATGGTTATAAGCAATTTTCAGCAACATTTCCTGAAAATATACAGCAAGGATTACTTCACTGCCTTTTCATGTGCTATATCAAAATTGTGGTTGGAGGAAAGAGGTGTGGAAAAATATGGGTTAGACCTATCAGTATCTTAACTTTTGAAAATGTTTTTGGCTCATCCCTTTTATACAGCCTATGACTCTCTAGCAGCATCTCTTGTTTTCTATCTACAGATTAAAATGCTGGTAACTTAAAACAGGTTTCCAAATGTTAAAGTATTTCACATCTTTTCAGGTGAATACATCATGGAGAATGAGGACATGAAAAATGAAGATTCCAAGATAGAGTATGTGGCAAGTGGACTTTTAACTCACAGTTTTAGTGAGAAAATTGGTGCGAAAACATTGTTATTTAGTGTTTTGAAACTCAAAGACAGTGTTTTTGTTTGGATCGGGTTGGCAACTGAGCTGAAGTTAATGAACATGTGCTTAGCTATGAAGTCACCTTACGATACTCTCCCTCTTACAACTCACTTCCTCGGATCAGTGAATGACGACAAATCATCAGCGCTGGCATCAAAGTTGAGCATTCGTCTAAAGAAACCAGTGTTTGTAAGTGTTAATGTAGAACTAGATCGTTTTCAATTTCCTGAACTTAGTGCGAGATTGAATGAAGAAATAAAACAGAGACCAGAGTGCTTTTAAATCAAGGGGTGCACAATTAATTTGTAAACATTATTACATAGGCCTATATTTAATTTTATTAAATAAAATGCTGTCAGTTTTTTAAACAAATTTGTTATGCCTAATTCATCATTCAACCAACCTTAGTACATACAATATTGTTTTTATCCCAAAATCATCAGTAGGCTAGGCCTATCAAGTAATATCTCTTGTGAATAGTTAGGTGACGAGTGTATGTAGAACTAAAGTACCTGCTGCAAGAGCTGTGTATAGGCATACGAAACACCATATGCATAATTTTGATAGGACAGTATTAGGCCTACATTATGTTTAAAAAAAAAGAGGTTGGTGGTGTATTTCCACCTTGCATAATTGCCAGTACAAATGAGCCTCAAAGGCCTATGTGTGAAACGTATTGAGCAAAGGAAGGGTTGAGCCAGCAGAGTAGAAATTAAAAAAAGTACTGAAAAGTTTTCATTGGCTGGGCTGAGACGAGACAAACCTACTACATCGCTGCCTTGGTTTCACAGTATCTTGCTTTATTACTGAATGACCCATCAATGCATCCCAAATCTTGAGTAGGGTCAAATAAATAGTAACTTTTTGACACGAAAAAGAGGAAACTCATTCTAGGCAAATTACTTAACTCTTATACATACCTAGTTACTACTCTTTTTGCAAACAAATCATGGAAATCTTGGACTAGAATGTACTATTTATAAAGGGCATGAGGTGGTTTTTATAAATGAAACTGCAAATTGTAAATATATCTTTATCCTTTCTACTAACCTATATATACATTTAGGAACAAAATTGTCACTTCTTTATACAGGTACAGACAAATTTAATAAGTGTAGGTTGTAGTTAAGATCACTTTTTACAACACTAGATTAATACTGCTACAAACTGTGAGTTGCATAATACCATAGATAAAACATACTCCCTTAGTAGATTTCTCATCCTTATGGAACAGCTGAAGACAATTTTATTGTTAGTTCTGTACGGTTTATGTAGAGGTCGTGTTTTGTTTACAATTTGTTTCCCGTTATTACAGCCATTTAAAACCTCGTTTTACCAAATAATAAGATCTAATCATAAACAATAACTTATCTCTTAGTTATATAACCAATTAGTAAAGCACAAATCAAGAAATTAACCCTAAAATAATAGAAACCAAGTTTCGTCGACACTAGCGCCAATGTGTCACGTACATGAACTAGACACAAAAATGAGCTTCAAAATTTACAATGGGATGAGAAGTCTACTTGTGTTGATTAGTCTATGATAATACAAAGGATTTAGATATAAATTCATTAGCCTACCTGATCAGATCAACTGTAGTAGCCTAAAGTGTTAAATAAGCTACTTGTGCTCGTTTTATGATACATAAAATCAATCTAAGTTAGGATAGGCTAATTGAAAAAAAGCAAGTAGCAAATAACCACTTTAAATATGAATTACAAATGCTATGAATGAGAAAATATCCAAGCAACCCCAACTTCACTCACTCTCTTTATGACATTTCTTATAAGGATAGTATTAGGTACGCTGGATGGTATAAAAAAAATGTCCATAAATATGAAATTTTGGAATGCAAGCGGAGGGTATTTAAAATCCCCCACAATAATCACAAACTCTTCCTGACTTTGTGGTACATTACTATTTGAAAAGGACACAGCACACCTCCATTCCTCCATACAAAGAAAAATTCTGTAATCTATCCATTGCCGTTTATCTGTTGTTTTCATTCAATGAAAATCCACTTGTTTTATTTAATGTTTCATTTTCTATTTAGGCCTATCTTTTTGGATCACACAACCTATATTTACATATATAGGAACACAAAACATGACCAAATGCATTGCTTTTGAGTAAAAAAATCAGCATTTTCCCAGAAAGCTTTTTAACTGGGCTTCGGTCAAAATAAACTATTTTACGGTGTGACACAAGTCTTTAATGCTATTTAAATAAAAATAGATAATCGATACTAATTAGGCCTAATGCTGTACCATGACAGAAATTTCCTGCTAAGAAACGCCAGTCCAATGTTGTCTACCCTAAATTCTGCAATTAAAAATCATGTTTTAGAAGATCAAAGTAATTGTTTTCAGAGCTGTTAATGAGTGGAATGTTTGTCATGGTGATAGCACTAATCCTAATGCTGTAGGCCAACCACTACGAGGGGTCTTCAGGCACAAATCTACGCAGCGCAGAGGTGAGAACTAGTAGAGAGTTTTGCAGGCCAGCAGGCAAATGTCGCTGGAGCCACGCACCTTTGTACTGCTCTATCAATGCCAACAGTCTGGGAACACGATAGTTATTTATTAGTTTCATCAACATTCAGACGATCAATAATCCAAGGGTTTTCAGATTGCAACCAAAGTTTCTACATTATAACAGCTACATTATAACCCAAGGCCAAAGCTTGAATTCTCTGCATCAATTATCTTTCATAACAATGATTTCTACTAGGCCTATCAGAAACAATTGTTTATTGTAAGTCATTCAAGCTCAGATTCTGATGTCAGCTGAGTCTTCTGGAGGACTGCATGTGGTTTGAAAAGTCATTAGTAGGCATATACATGGGACTTTAAGCCCCTAATTAGACCATTGATTTATGAAGCAATAAAACCTTGCCATGTTTAAACTGTCCCCTTACAAAAAGAAAAACACAAAAAATAAAAGCTGTTAAACATGTCAAATTTAAAGGGTACATGTTTAACGACATACTTGTTGGCCACATCAGTGCGGAAGGTAGGTGGTAGGTGACAAACGCCCAGGTTGATGACAGCCAATCCCATGTTACTGTTAGGGTTGACTCCAGCAGCCACCAGACTTCGACCTATCTTACAAGCTGTCAACATCAGGTCCACTGTCAGGTTGAGCTCCTGCAGTACCTGCAACAGTCAAGAGAAACTTCCAGCTTAAATTTCTATATATGAATGAATGAATAAAGTGCTTTATTTTAAAATAAACATTCCCCTCATAAACATAATCAAACACTTAATAAACAATGGTCTACGACCGTCTGTTTGGTTGACACACCTGGAAAACACATTTATGAAAATGAAGTTGAAACAAAATACACTTAATAACATACACAAATGTACACACAATTTTACATCCATTTTTAAACTAAACTTAAAAAAAAACCTTTTTCATAATATTGTTTACATAACTTGTATTATTTTACTTTTAAAATTATTAGGTTTTAAAAGGTTTACGCGTAATGAAATCTATAAAAATTACTATGAATATTCAAGAAGACAGGCTGACAATTTATTTGACATATTTATTGTTTTGCTATAATTTATAAATTAGAAAGAGAAAAAAACAATTTTGAATTTGGAAAAAAAACTTCACTTGATTTATTCGTAATTAAATTCTCTAATTAACTCCCACCTCCTTCTCCACGCCTCTCTCATAAAGTTTGCTAATTTACGCCAATCCCTACCATTTATGTATTCTATGTGTTCGCCCCAATGCATGCTTCGTTTCCCAAACCAATACTCTCTGATATCACCTAAAATTGGGCAAATAGAAACAAAATGAAAAACTGTTTCAAATTCGCGCAAATTGCACAGACTACAAAAATGATTTTTATTTGTTATCCATGGTTTGTGATTCAAATCAACCAGCTCGGCTCGGGCCTTAATGACCCATGAGATAAGATTTATATTGATGCTATCAGTGAGAAAACTCCGGGGCCCTAGGTCAAGGTCAACGGCAAGCAGTTGTTGGTGATATTGCGATGTACGCGCTCTGCCAACCATATCAATTCTCCAGCTATCTCTTTCCGCCTCAATTATCTTCACTAATCCCTCAAAAACATCTGCTGACTCGAAATTAATATCCAAACCGTGTTTTCGCCCTAGACATTTCCACTCTTTGGCCCAAAAAATACCTTTTCCAATTACAGATTTAGCAATAATTTTAGGTAAGCGTGATTCTGGCAAATTAAAAACCTTAAAAATGTATGTTGCGTTAATTTGTAGATTAAAGAAATATAACTTTTCAAAACATGTTTCTAAGTAAACAATATAGTTGGGAGTGTTATGTGGCAATCTAAAAATCCTTTTAATAAACGTTTTCTGAGCATTTTCTAACTGAGAAATTTCTGAAAACCCCCAAACTTGTGCGCCGTAACACAAAATAGCTCTGAGAATAGATTCGAAACATAATATCTTAATATGCAGCGGGACTTTTTTGTTGTCTACTAGCCTTTGCCATACTGAATTAATTGCATAATTAGTTAGCCTCCTCTTCTCTATGAAATGTTTTTCCCATGACAATGTCGTTGTAAACAACATTCCCAAATATTTATAACTATCTACCACTTCAACCTGTTTGCCCTTATACAACCATCTATCATGTCCCGATAATCTACCACCTTTCCTAAAAACCATTATTTTGGATTTAGATAGATTTACTGTAAGGTTCCAAATTGCACTGTAACACTCCAAGTTTTTAATCATAATTTGTAACACTGTTGCTGTGGGGGCCAACAATGCGATGTCGTCTGCATACATCAAAACATTTACTCTCTTTCCACCGAAATTACAGCCACCTTCCAGCACCTCTGGCAAATCATTTACGAATAAGCTGAACAGGAGAGGACTTCCTATACATCCTTGTCTTAAACCTGTCTTTGTCTCAAACTCATCTGAAATGCCGCCCTTACACCAAACCGCTGCAGATGTGTTACAATAATAACTCCTCAAAACATCTAAAACGTGCGTTGATACGCCGATTGATGAAAGTTTTAATATTAGTGATCTTCTATCAATAGTGTCGAACGCACTTGAAAAATCCACAAAAAATGCATACAACTTCCCACCTTTCTCCGCTAAACGCACTTTGATCATCGATGCCAAATTAAAAATATTATCTATAGTGGAATAGTTTTGTCTGAAACCCGCCTGGAACTCAGATAAGATGTGGTTTTCATTGACCCAATTTCGAAGTCTATTATTTAGCATTCCTATAAATATTTTACCAATACAATTTATAAAAGACAATCCTCTATAATTTTGAACTGATTTAATATCACCCTTTTTAAACAATGGAAAAATTATCGATTTTTTAAAGCTTTCTGGTATGACCTTATTCCGAAAAATGTCATTATAAATATTAAGTAGTTTAGTCAAAAACAGGTCTGGGGCATTCTTATAAAACTCATAGGGGACTCTATCTAGGCCCGGTGCTTTATTATTTTTCAAGCTGGACAAAACAACTTTTAATTCTAGGAAATTAAAGTCTTTATCAAGATAATCATCGGCAATAAAAGGTTCTGCAAACGAGATAGTACTCTCCACCAGAGGATTTAGTAAAGTTTTAAAGTGTGTAACCCATTCTTCAGGTTTTATATTTCCTACTCGGTTTATGTTATTTTTACACTTAAAAGAGTTTATTGCTCGCCAACACGTTTTGGAATCTTTAGACACAGTAAGAGTTGAGATTAAAGAATAGTTGTATTCGTTCTTCTTTCCTGTACATAGCTGTTTATATTTCCTCTGCTCCTCAACATACTTAGCCTTTATTTCAGTTGAATTGGTTTGTCTAAAAAGCTGTAACAATTTAAACACCCTCTTTCTAGCGTTTAAACAGTGATAGTCAAACCAAGGTTGTTTACCAACAAAAGGTGTATTACTCTTTGAACCTAGCTTGTAATGTGCAGAATTAGTTATAACATTTATTACATCATTAACATTTTGTGGCGAAAAAGATTTCATACTTTCCTCAACTTTGCTAGTATAGTTCAGACAATCAAAATTCGTCCATTTCAGCTTTGGCAACAATGGTATAATTTTCCCCTCCCCTGCACCCCCTCCCACAGGCCCAGGAGTCTCAACATTTAAACTTACTTCTATCGGCATATGATCTGATCCGGGAAAACCAACAACTTTGAAGTCGTGAATCGAATGTAAACAATTAAAAGTGACCGCTGCTATATCTATGACTGAGTTACCCCTATGTCCAACAAAAGTAAATTCCCCCTCTTTATCCCCTATGGACCTTCCGTTTAAAACTACTAATCCTAAATTGTCACACAAATCTAATATTTTACGCCCATTTGAATTTAAAATGTTGTCTTTTGAATGTCTAATGTCCTCAATCCTATTATTCGAAATGCTAATTATATTTTCAGAAAAACTCTGTTCTATTCCAATACGCCCATTTAAATCCCCTATAAGGACTATATTCTGGAAACAGCTATTATCAAAGAAACTTTGAAGCCTATTATAATCTATTTGCCAACAATTGAAATTTAGGTAAACAGGCACTATATACAATTGCTCGCATCCAAAAACAATATTGTCTAGCCTAACCACATTAAAATATTCAAAGTTTACAAACGTTACATTGCTTATAAAACGAGAGTTATGATTTAATGCGTAAACTAGGCCACCTGAATATCTTCCAACATTAGCAGTTCTCACTGCGAAAGTAAAAGTTAAATCAAAGTTACTTAACCTATTTACAATAATATCTTGATCCTTTTCCGCGACAAATGTCTCTAAAAATATAATTAAATCAAACTCCTTTATAAACTCTAAAAATGAAAAATCATTTACCTTATTTTTTAATCCACAAACGTTATAAGATAAAACCTTGAATTGTGAAAGTCCGGTCGTCGTTGGGTTGTGGTTTGGAGTTGGTCCCTCTGTAGATGGATTGGCGTCACCTCCTCATTCATTGTCCTGGTTGATGGAAGCGCGAGGCGACTGCGTAGGTGTTGAAACTGACACGTTCTGCGACGTACCCGTAGCACTCGCCGACCCCTGCGTTGTTGAAGCTGTTGTCCTCTCTGTTGACATGTCCGTCACTACTGTAGATCTGGGTACTTTAAGATCACGTAAGAAGTCTGAAAAATCGCGTTTGAAGAGTGTCTGCAACAATTGAGCACCATCCTGGTTGCCTGCCTTTAGTTCACCTCCCTCCCATGTGAACCGATGTCCTTTGAAAGTCATATGGTCGAAATATAATGATATTTTATTCTTTTGTTTCCCCGCCACACTTTCAATTTCGTCTCTAAGCTTTGACAGACATGCTCGTTTTTCACGCACTTCTTTAGGATAGTCTCTATGCACTGAATAACCAGTGCCTTTTAACTCTCTTACACGTGACATAATATAGTAGATGTCGGCGTCATTTGGTAGGTGTGCAATGATTGCATTGTTACTTCCCCCTAGAGGGTGGGCTCTATTAACAAATATAGTATCCGCACTCCCGAAAACATCGTTGCAAAACTTTCGCACGATTTCATTGAAGTTACGTGTTTCCTTGGACCACTTCAACCCCCTAAATATGAGGTTGTTACGCCTAGATCTTCCTTCAAGATCGACTAACCTAGACATAACCACACTCTCTCTCTGTTGTAAGTCCTCTATTTGTTTCCTTAGTACAATATTCTCCTTTTGTAACTCCGACACTTGCCCCGTGAGTTGAGAGAACTCCTTTTTGGTTGCCATATTTTCTAATTTACTATCAAGCAACTGGCCCAAGTCCTTCAGAAGTTGGGATCGTGTAATATCGCCTACCTTTTCTTCGCTGCCCATGTTGGCCGTTACCGTCTCGACGTCGTCTGCACACTCCGGTGACGAATAAGATCTCTGCCGTTTGAATGACCTATTTACTGGTGTAAAATATTTATCGATTTTTGATTCTGTCATATGACCACTATCGAGTCCACACTGGTTTAGCCGAGACCACGTTGCCGCACCACTTATCGCTTATAACTGCTGTTTACTGCCGGTTTGCGGTAAATTTAGCTTATCACTCCGTGTAAATCAGCCAACATAACCGGATTTCACTCAGATTTACTGATAAAATGTCGTTAAATTGTGAAAATTGAAGAATATTTGGGAGCTTGCAATCACGCACGTCTGCTTTGAATCGCACCAGTAGTGCCAACCAATATATGATGGGCTAGTGATTTGGAAAATATTGAGCAAATTTCAAAAAGTTGTATAGCACCTCTTTAAAGCATAACACCCACAGTTTTGTTCCTTTGTCGCCAAAGAAGTATTATTGTTAATGAAGTAAACCATGGTTAAAATGGTGCAGATCGAAGACTCTACCATAAAGTACACTAAAAACAAGATGATGAACATTAAGCTTATGGTGATAAGAAGAAAAATGCATGTATTGCAAAGAGATATGAGCGAGAAATGTTTAATTTATTCAAGTATACTACACTTACAGTTTCACTACAATCTGGTCTTGCTTTCATCAAGCAGGTTTGTGACCTCTTGATGTGTTTGGTAGCTTTCTGAAACAAAACATTCAAACTGGTAGAACACATTCATATGGTCTTCAATAAAACAACAGAGGAGGATGTACATTTGAAATGTTTTTCCTTTTCTGCTTCAAATTGGACTGGTTTAAATAATTGGTAAGTAGTAAATTATTCTACCAGTATATTGGCTAACCCAATGCACTGTGAAATTTTTAAAAGCTAGGTAACAGATCGAAATATATCAAATAGAGGAGATCAAAATTACAAAAATGTTTTTCTAGCAGATATCTTGAAATTCAATTTCATACCAGTTGTATGGGCCAACTACCGGTATTCATTTTTTAATTGATCACACTTGATTGTTACGGGAAATATTTCAATGAGAAAAGATTATTCACAAATAAAATAAGGCTACCAGAGACGGAAAAAGCCCACATAACAGCGGGTTTTACCACTACTCACTGAGAAATGGTCCAAGGTGAGTTTGTCGAGCGTAACGTTGTCAGGATCCACCAGGAGCTGGTACAGTATAGAGCCAAGATGTGATGGCAGATCTGACACATTGTGTGATTGTTGACCTCTGGCACTACGGACCAGGTATGTCTCAGCATGGCCTAGTTCCAGCACTGCCTGGCCAACACAGTGAGACCTGGGAACATGAAATAATGGATCAGTATATGAAATTAAAAATACACACTGTATTTTCAATTGTACCTCTGATATCAACAGACTGGGGAGTAAGTTAGCTGGGTGGTCAACTATAAAGCTAAGCGCGCGCTGCGTCGGTGTGGACGGTAAGTAGGCCTACTGGCTTTAAATTAAAAAAAATTTTTAGCATTGATTTTCTTAAGAGTGTGAGCACTAGACTGTCATGGTCAGGACATGACCATCTGCACCTTCTGCCATCCGAGTTAACAGTATAAGTGTAAATATGTGTTTCACGAGTGTTATCATAGACATATTTGAATTTTTTTAGTTACTTGCTGATCTCGACAAATTGTACATGTCTGAAGTGCGCGCACGAGTTTTTGGTTTGAGCGGTACGGTCATTCCAACTTGTTAGAATGCTAGGAGGATAATGTGGAGGTATCTATCGTCCAACCGTCCCATATCAATCGATCCAGTGCATGCAACCTCCTAAAAAGTGTGGGGTTTTCCATGACCAATACCATTGACTATACACAGAAATTACCATTCCAGACCCCACAGCCCATTAAAAAGGTGTACAACTTCTGTCCAAGGTGTCCTAACCCAATAGACACTAGGGACCTAAGTTTTCTTTTCTAGTCAAATTGAATGTTACTCCCTTGGTTATTTATTTACTATTTCGTTGGTAATTTATGCTACTATTTTACTACTCAATGTATGCTCTAAATTTTACTTGTCAATACACGTACAAATGTAAAAATAAAAACTTTTGTCTTACATCTAAGGTTTTCCTAAAATTGTCAGATCGGGCTGGGCCAAAAGTTGGCTTTTTAGATTGTTTCAATTACATTTTATATTGCAGGTATTTAAAGAGTTTGATTTTGGAGCAGAATTTACAATCTAGTGATCATAGAAGGCAAAGATTTTGTGATTAAAAATTCATGATTTCTCAGTAATTGTGAGAGAAGTTTGTGATTCCTCCGAGACCACTGGAGGTGTTAACAATTTTGCTGCAATCACAGGACATAACACTCTGGCACAACAGCACAAATTGATCATGATATTGCCATAAACACACAAGACGTTCACAAAAAGACATGCACCTCCCAGACAGATAAATCATTTTTATGTTCACTTAATATAGTATTTCTATTTGTGCTAAGGTTAAAAACAGTTATGATTTTCATACAAACACTCAATTAATTGTTAGCAAATATTATTACCTGTCGCCAAAAACATGTGTGTCTAATAGGTCGGCAAGTGAGTTGTGCAAATAGTCCTGTAACAAAACAAAAGAAACATGAGCACTAACAGATTAAGCGGAAGGAGTAATGAATTAGTAAAATGTATGGAGTACTCAAATAAACATGTTTGCTTGAGTAATTTCAACATTAAATTTTCAACCCAGAGATATTGCATAGCCACAGTGCCATGTGACGTATATTTTCAGTACTGTAATGTTTCAATTTAATTTAACCATTTTAGGCTATGTTATGCCTAGGCTAGGTTAGGTTTTTGTTAGATAAATTGTAATAAAAGTAGGCCTATTTCGCACTTTCATGTTTGAAATATTGCTTAATGTTCTATAAATTACTAATGTAATAATGTTTCTAATAGTTTATTTTGTAAATAGTGGTAACCAAGAATATTTCTATCCACTTACCGTACCTAGGTTAGCTTACCCACTTACCGTATTTAGGTTAGGTTATCCATTGTAAATATTTCAGCAACACAATAATCGCACACAAAGGGATAAACATGTAAATATAACAACTAACTAAATAATTAAAACATATTTATTTATTACATTTGTTTGGATGTTTGTTTATTAGTCTACAGCTTCTCTGACAGCTTGAGCTCCAGCCGACAGCAGCTGATGGATCAACAACGATCAAGTGGGCAGCGATGACGTCAGGCTGCCGGAAAAGGAAGTTAAATTTTGGTTGAAACATCTGGGTTTAAAGTTCTAGAACATTCCATGGTCTCCATAGCAACCAAATCGGGTATAAATACAGCAGTCCACGGACCAGTCTTCACTAGTGACTACGTAGTTGACAGTCAGTCACTCAGACAGGCGCTGCGGGTGTAAACCATTTGTCAGGCGCAAACCAAAACAATAATTGTAATTTAATTTGTATTTGTTAAAGGAAAATAAAAGGAATAAGGTCAGTCCCAATTGTGTTCTCATTTGAAATAGTAATAAGGTAATTAGATAGGTAAGTAGGATAGAAATTATAATACACACAAAGCATTTGTCAGGCCCCGGCAGACCGCTGGTGCTGCGGCTTAACACTAAACACTCACGCACATTCGGTAGTTGTCTTGCACCTTTTTAAGAGTGCTGCGACCGAATTAACACTTACAAGTAGTGGTACTAAACATTTTAACTCCATACAAAGCATTTGTCAGTCCCCGGCTGACCGCTGGTGCTGCGGCTTAACACTAAACAAGCACGCACATTTGGTAGTTGTCTGGCACCTTATTTTAAGAGTGCTGCGACCAAATAACACTTGCACATAGTGGCTCTGTATAACTTAACATTATATCTCACGTTTCACACATTCTGCAGTTAAGATAAATCAGTCACGTGGCAAAGAACCCATCCCTGAGAAACTTTGATAAAAAATACAAAATAAAATAGATACAGTTAAATGAAATTCAGATTTAAGTCATTGAGACGTTACAGTACTTTAATTGCAAGGTAGTGTTTTGCCTCATCAACTGTCTATTCTACTGCAATTACCCAGTGAGTGTTGGTGTTCCAAGCCAGTCCGGCGCCCACCATGAACCCCGGCCAGCTGAAGGGGTAGTGTGTGATGTGGTAGGAGCCAGACCAATGCGCCACCACTGTCCCCAACGCTCCTGTGTTCTGTACAGCCTGCACCGCTCTGTATATGTTACATATAGACGCCTCTGGACACCCTGCTAAGCTGTAAATCAATAAAATATTTGTTAGAGTATGCTTCTATATATTTTTTACTCTAGTTCTGCATGACTAGGAGATCTAAACACTCCGATTACACAAAAAATGCTAACAACTTGTCACGATTGATCCACTGTCTTACACCAACCAAAGAGAAACCCACCTCATCCACAGGCTTTTCAATATACTTTCAAACCACATTAAGAAAATAACAGAGAAATGCACTTCCAGAAGGTAATATGACAATGGCTTTTAGAGAGGATATTCTCTACAAACTCAACAAATTCCTAAACTGGAAAAATCTCTAATATGAAGAAAACTTATGAAAATTAATCTATGGGTAACACGTAACACCAATGTATATTTCTATGAAATTACAATGAAGACTCTATGCTATGTATATTGAATACATTTGATAAGGATACCGTTGAAGTGTAATTCTAATCTCTATATTAATTTGAAACTGTTTTTCTTTGTCACAGCTATTTTGAGAGAACGGCTGGGCGTAGAAACTCGGTAGAGGTGTCTAAAGAAAGGTCTTGGTCTGTAGATGAGCCATCAAAAGAGAAACATGGTGAATTCCCTTGGGGCTCTGCCACAGTGGCCTTTGAATTCCCATCCCATGTTATTCTTATGGAGGAAAACGGGTTTTTTGTCACAGGTAATTTGAGAGAACGGCTGGGAGTAGAAACTTGATAGGGGTCTCTAAAGAAAGGTCTTGGTCTGTAGATGAGCCATCAAAAGAGGAACGAGGTCAATTCCCTTGGGGCTCTGCCCCAGAAGCCTTTAAAGTTGCCTCTTCAGATTTGTTTACATTACGACCATATGCATAATTCTACACTACTTTTTAATGAAACATCTGTTAATATTTAAATTGTAATTTATTGAATTTGCCAAAATGAAGTACAGTATTTGTAATGGGTTTTTCTGATTTTAAAATGGATTTTCTTCTGCATCGTGTCTTGTTTTGCAATATAATGTTCTATTACCAAATCAGTGGAAAATCCTATTATCACAGTAACTCTTAAAATTATTTCTTTTGGAGTTAACTTATATCTATTGTATGGGTTGGATTCTGCCTTTTTTACCCCTTCTTGGAGATTGTACGTAGGTGATATTCGTTGGCATATTGCATCTGTAGACGAAACTTGGTTGGGTTGGGTTGGTGATTAGAATGGAAAAGAGTGAGAAATCCTGGATAATTTGATATAGGCTAAAAATAAAACTGAATTAACACTGTTCTAGATTTCTTGAGCAATCATTGAAATAACCGATTTGCAAACAATGGAAACATAGAAAAAGTCATAGAACACAACCAAGTAGAAGAAATAGAAATAATGTTTTTTTTTCATTTATAATCGTTATCATAGACAACCTAATGCGGCTATGAGAGGGAAAATTTTGTAGAAAACACTAAAAAAACAAGATCAGCTTTTTGAAAAAAGATAAGATATTTACAAAAGATTTTGATTATATCTAACTGTTGTGTAGATTTTGAGTATTTCCATAATCTTTGAGTCGCCTGTAATGCAATTGCTCGAATTCGAGCAACAGGTACACTAGTCTTCCCTTATTCTTTAAAAAAGGGGTCGGCAATCTTCCTTGTTTTCAGCCACTTTTAATCTTACACATTACCCTCAAAGGCCTGTGCATGGAAAGAACTCGCAAAGCATGAGGTGAGCTGTTACAGTGCAAGAATGATCTGTACAGGATAAATTAACAGTATTTTGTTTTACATCGACCAATATTTAAATATTTATTGTGTCACTACAAAATTTTCCAAACCATATTAACCAAGAACTCATTCGGGAAAAAATAATCTGAAGTAAACTAGATGGCTGACAAAAATATTTTAACCGGCAATATTTCTTGAACATTAAAATATTGATATTTTTGAGTGGCATCCAAGTAAGTAGTCATAATTTGAGCGAAGCGAGCGAAGCTCTTATACGTCGACTTTTATGCATTTCGTAATACGCAAACTCCTCCTAGACGGCTGAATCAATCGTTTTCAAATTTTGCATGGTGATAAAGACCATATCGGTGAGTGCCAACATCTATATGGCGTTAAAAAAGTCTCTCAGGAATCCGTAGAAAAATGAAACTGAAAATCACATTTTCTTAACATTAGTCTTATGGGTTGCTAGGTAACCATGTTGGCTGAATTAAATAACAAGTAAAAAGTAAACAAAAGATTTGAAGTTTTAGCATGTGTTCATAATAAGCCAACTACCCACAGTATACTAGGAAATTACAAATACAGTACAAAAGGAAAAACACCACTTGTTAATATTGAGCAAAGATTATACTTAAGATTACTCGATACATTGTAGTCAAGGGCAGCAGTGCGAAGTCTAGGATCTGTTTATGACGAATACATTAAGGTATCTGCAATCCTAAAATGCTATGGGAAGGGAAGGAAACAGGTCCGTGACGTAGAAAGTAGTGAAGAAAGTAGTAAAGGCAATCATAAAATGCTATGGGAATAGAGGGAAACAGGTCCGTGACGTAGGAAGTGATATGAAGGAAGTAGTAAATGCGAGCAGTCCGGAGTGTGGGGACTGTTTATGACGATAAGATTAGGGTATCTGCAATCCTAAAATGCTATGGGAAGGGAGGAAAACAGGTCCGCGACGTAGGAAGTGGTGAAGGAAGTAGTCAAGGCGAGTAGTCCGGAGTGCGGGAACTGTTTATGACGATTAGATTAAGGTATCTGCAATCTTTAAGTGCAATGGAAAGGGAGGGAAACAGGTCCGCGACGTAGGAAGTGGTGAAGGAAGTAGTCAAGGCGAGCTGTCCGGAGTGTTGGAACTATTATGACGATTAGATAAGGGTATTGGCAATCAAAAATGCTATGGGAAAGGGAGGGAAACAGGCCCGTGACGTAGGAAGTGGTGAAGGAAGTAGTCAATGCGAGCTGTCCGGAGTGTGGGAACTGTTTATGACGATAAGATAAGGGTATGGGCAATCCTAAAATGCTATGGGAAGGGAGGGAAAGAGGTCCGCGACGTAAGAAGTGGTGAAGGAAGTAGTCAAGGCGAGCTGTCAGGAGTGAGGGAACTGTTTATGGCGATTAGATAAGGGTATGGGCAATCCTAAAATGCTATGGGAAGGGAGGGAAACAGGTCCGTGACGTAAGAAGTGGTGAAGGAAGTAGTCAAGGCGAGCTGTCTGGAGAGTGGGAACTGTTTATGATGATTAGATTAAGGTATTTGCAATCCTAAAATGCTATGGAAAGGGAGGAAAATAGGTCCGCAACGTAGGAAGTGGTGAAGGAAGTAGTCTAGGCGAGTTGTCCGGATTGTTGGAAATGTTTATGGAAATGTTTATGACAATTAGATTAAGGTATCAGCAAACCTAAAATGCTACGGGAAGGGAGGAAAACAGGTCCGCGACGTAGGAAGTGATGAAGGAAGTAGTCAAGGTGAGCTGTCCGGAGTGTGGGAACTGTTTTTGACAATTAGATTAAGGTATTTGCAATTCTAAAATGCTATGGAAAGGGAGGAAAATAGGTCCGCGACGTAGGAAGTGGTGAAGGAAGTAGTCTAGGCGAGTTGTCCGGAGTGTTGGAAATGTTTATGACAATTAGATTATGGTATCAGCAAACCTAAAATGCTACGGGAAGGGAGGAAAACAGGTCCGCGACGTAGGAAGTGGTGAAGGAAGTAGTCAAGGCGAGTAGTCCGGAGTGCGGGAACTGTTTATGACGATTAGATTAAGGTATCTGCAATCTATAAGTGCAATGGGAAGGGAGGGAAACAGGTCCGCGACGTAGGAAGTGGTGAAGGAAGTAGTCAAGGCGAGCTGTCCGGAGTGTTGGAACTATTATGACGATTAGATAAGGGTATGGGCAATCAAAAATGCTATGGGAAAGGGAGGGAAACAGGCCCGTGACGTAGGAAGTGGTGAAGGAAGTAGTCAAAGCGAGCTGTCCGGAGTGTGGGAACTGTTTATGACGATAAGATAAGGGTATGGGCAATCCTAAAATGCTATGGGAAGGGAGGGAAAGAGGTCCGCGACGTAAGAAGTGGTGAAGGAAGTAGTCAAGGCGAGCTGTCAGGAGTGAGGGAACTGTTTATGGCGATTAGATAAGGGTATGGGCAATCCTAAAATGCTATGGGAAGGGAGGGAAACAGGTCCGTGACGTAAGAAGTGGTGAAGGAAGTAGTCAAGGTGAGCTGTCCGGAGTGTGGGAACTGTTTATGACGATTAGATTAAGGTATTTGCAATTCTAAAATGCTATGGAAAGGGAGGAAAATAGGTCCGCGACGTAGGAAGTGGTGAAGGAAGTAGTCTAGGCGAATTGTCCGGAGTGTTGGAAATGTTTATGACAATTAGATTATGGTATCAGAAAACCTAAAATGCTACGGGAAGGGAGGAAAACAGGTCCATGACGTAGGAAATTGTGTAGGATGTAGATGTGTGGATTTATGTATCTCAAATACTACGGTGCTTTCAGAGTGAACTAATGAAAGCTCGGTCCCCAGGTACTATAATCAAATGACGACACTAGCTTGAGGTTCGTGACGTATGAAGAGGTTAAGGAAGTAGTAAAGGTGAACAGTCTGGAGTGTGGGAACTGTTTATGACGATTAGATTAAGGTATTTGCAATCCTAAAATGCTATGGAAAGGGAGGAAAATAGGTCCGCGACGTAGGAAGTGGTGAAGGAAGTAGTCTAGGCGAGTTGTCCGGATTGTTGGAAATGTTTATGGAAATGTTTATGACAATTAGATTAAGGTATCAGCAAACCTAAAATGCTACGGGAAGGGAGGAAAACAGGTCCGCGACGTAGGAAGTGATGAAGGAAGTAGTCAAGGTGAGCTGTCCGGAGTGTGGGAACTGTTTATGACAATTAGATTAAGGTATTTGCAATTCTAAAATGCTATGGAAAGGGAGGAAAATAGGTCCGCGACGTAGGAAGTGGTGAAGGAAGTAGTCTAGGCGAGTTGTCCGGAGTGTTGGAAATGTTTATGACAATTAGATTATGGTATCAGCAAACCTAAAATGCTACGGGAAGGGAGGAAAACAGGTCCGCGACGTAGGAAGTGGTGAAGGAAGTAGTCAAGGCGAGTAGTCCGGAGTGCGGGAACTATTATGACGATTAGATAAGGGTATGGGCAATCAAAAATGCTATGGGAAAGGGAGGGAAACAGGCCCGTGACGTAGGAAGTGGTGAAGGAAGTAGTCAAAGCGAGCTGTCCGGAGTGTGGGAACTGTTTATGACGATAAGATAAGGGTATGGGCAATCCTAAAATGCTATGGGAAGGGAGGGAAACAGGTCCGCGATGTGGGAAGTGGCGAAGGAAGTAGTAAAGGTGAGCTGTTCGGAGTGTGGGATCTGTTTATGACGATTAGATTCAGGTATCTGCAATCTTAAAATGCTATGGGAAGAGAGGGAAACAGATCCGCGACGTAGGAACAGGTGAAAGAAGTAGTAAGGTGAGCAGTGTGGAGTGTGGGAACTGGAAACCGTTTGTAGCAGTTTTAATGTATCTGCAATGCTGAAATGCTATGAGAAGGGATGGAAGCATGCCCAAGACATAGGAAATTGTGAAAGAAGTAGTAAAGTCTAGCAGTACGGACAGTGGGGATGTTTGTTGCAATTAGATTAACGTATCTAAAATACTAAAATGCTATGGAAAGCGATGAATACAGGTCCACGACGTAAGTGGTGAAGGAAGTAGTAAAGGCTGGCAGTGCAGAGTGGGGGAACCGTTTGAGCAGATGGATAACAGAATTTGTAATACTTAAATGCTATGAGAAAGGAAGGAAACAGGCCAATGACGTAGTAAATGGTGAAGGAAGTAGTAAGGCTAACAGCGCAGAGTGTGGGAACTGTCTTTGGCAATTACATTAATGTATCTGCAATCCTAAAATGCTATGGGAAGAGAGGGAAACAGGTCCACGACGTAGGGTGTGGTGAAGGAAGTAGTAAATGTGAGCAGTGTTGAGTTTGGGAATGGATTAATGTATCTGCAATGCTAAAATGCTACGGGAAGAGACTGTAGACTGTAATATGTTAAAAATGATTACGAAGCACAAATTGATACATATTTTCGATACATGCAATCGTTTACAATCGAAATTTACAACTGAGTTGACAACAGCTGATATTTACTCCATAGAGGCTAAAAACGATTTTTACTCCCTAAATATTAAAAATGCTACTTTAGACCCGCAGCGCATGCATGAAAAAATACTGTTTTTACTGCAGTAAGACAAAAACAATATAATATGAACCCTTGATGACTCCGCTCAATTTTGTGGATGCCTTTGCGAACGCCACCTAGTACTTAAGACAATTCCACCAACAAAGAAAGGTAATTTTCATGTTTCAATGTTGCCAAACCTGTTCCAACTGGCAGTTCCAGGACATAAACAGGTTGTGCAACCGTATTGGTGGAACTCTTGCGTCCAGTCAGCAAAGTCGTAATCTGCCTGTAAACAAACCAAGAAATTGATGAATAGTGGCTTGGAAGACAAGTTGCCAAAGCAGGTAACCAGGAGTGAGTAGAATAGTATCGTTTTATCTTATGAGTAATACAATAAAGAATACACAAACCTCTCAACTTGAAAAGCAGCAATAGGCTATGTTTAAATGATTTGGAATTCAGCAACCTACTAACATATTACTTCAGCAACCACGTCATAATTTATTAATCATAAATAAATCCCAAGACATAAATCATAATTAATATGATAAGTTATTTATTTTTATTAGTTAAATTTATTTGTTTACAATTCAAAATAAGAAAAGAAACCCAGTGATATTTCCTGAATTTCCAGGATCCGTTTTCATTTTACTTCTCCAAGTTTAGACCTCCTGTAGGCTACTAAACAATCTATAAATTGTCCTAATATTTAACTGATATACCTGAAAGCCGTAGTCCATCAGTACGATGTTGGCAGGAACATAGACTTTGGCAAGGTGAAGGTTGTGAAGTGTGTTAGAACACAACATAACAGTTACATCAGGGGACAGTGACAGATGATGCCAAATGTCCTGTAGAGACACATCAGCACCTTCCTCTCCTCCACAGATCAGCAGACTGCTTAGTCTAGGGCCTAGGTGGACGTATCTGTAATATATCATGTTTGTTTGAGTTATGTATTTACTATAATCTTATAGTAGGGAACAAAATTGCAGAGATTCAGAAAATGGAGAAATAAGGAGATCTTTGGAGAAGGGGAGATGGAGATGGAGAGTTAGCAAAAAATGTAAAGATGGGTAGACGGAGAGACAACAAGTGAAAAAAATCCACTTCCAAGACTACAAACAGTACAACAATGGATTTAACACAATATTTTTTCCATAAGTATGAGGCAAAGTGAGTAGGGTAGTGTATTTAGCAAAGCACTCACTTGAGGTTAGTAAAGCTAGCGACTATGTCTTGGAACACCGGCCACATTTCATCCAGGTCGTGGCGCTGAACACTGTTGTCTATGTCCAACACAGGGAGGAGACTGATGAACCTGTCATGGCAGTAGCGGTCAATCATCACCATGTCACTGTAACAAACATCAAATCCAATCAATAAACAGTTTTATACTACATCCATTTCATAGAGTTCACTTTTTTGGAAAATCCAGTCACTGCCAGGACCGATTAGTCATGAAAGCACTATATTCGTTTGTTTTATGTCCCAAGTTTCTGGTTATTGTCTTGTTTTGTGTATTTATTAATCTTGATGTTTGTACATGATTTGACAATGTTACGCCTGGAAAAGGTTGGAAACTTAACGGAAAGGACAGAGTTATCAACAGAAATAATTACTGTAAAATGGAGGCTTTGTTATGATCCTAGTTGTCCTAGTTCAATTAGAATAATTTAAAATAAACATTCACTTTTTCCTTTACACAACGGAATTAGTTCTTATTTATAAAAGTAAATTTTGATTTTATAGCTAAAATGCCAAGTCCTAACTCAATTTGAATACCATACTACTGACAAAACAAACGTAAGTTATAATATTAAAATATAAATCAATACAGTTGAAGACTGTAAATTACGACCGACTAACAAAACACATCAATCCTCTCATATCCAGTCATACAATGAGAAAAAATAAATAACAGAAGTTTCCAGACTGTAATCATGCTCAACCACATTTAACATATTCCTGCTCAAGATTACGAGATTGAATGTTGTACCTACCTCTGCTTGTAACACAGTTGCCATTCCCGGCTGGACACCAGTCTAGTGTAGAGATGCAGATGAGAGATTTTGAGTGACGACCACTTGTCTATCATCTCAAACAGGTAATCCTGGAACATAAAGTAGCATCTAAAATGTGCTGAAAACATTGAAACAGTAGGCATCTCATCCAAAAGCATATTATTAGATAATGAACAGATCATTCATAGGTGTACTTAAAAAGTAAAAAGGCAGTAACTTACTAGTACTTGAATTTGTCAGTGAAAATTTCTGTTCCAGTTTAACCAAACAACATATTACAAAATTGCTAAAATCAGAATAAAAAAAAAAACTTAAAATCTAAAATCCAAGCCTATGAAAAATACTAATTAGAATCTTTAGGGAACATATTTTTTTATTATATTTTTATTTAGTAAAAGTGATATGTCATCCATCCTAGCTTTTTTCAAATGTGAATCTTTTCTTGATTTGAGACTGGGCTAAAACACATGTCTACTAAGAGACTTACCAATGTCGGTACTCGGCTCAGTGGTGCAATATCCAGCAGCACGGCACGATGCTTCATGGCCGGGTGGTCCTGTATCAGCACAGGCACCAGGTCTAGACTGTCCTGGGCCTGGGCCAGCTGCAGCAGTTGTGTGAACGTACAGACAGCGTAGTGCAGTCCAGTCACACTGTCTGCAGATATCTGCACCTGTGTGAATAATGTATTTGTATAAATCATCTATTGTTTTAATAAGCTTCCTGAAAGTACAAAAATACGACAAATAACATATATTTACTAGTGATGGGCGGATCCAAGAAAATGGTGGTACCGGATCCGGATCTTGAAAAATTCGGATCCGGATCCAGATACACACTGTAATAAGGGCGGGTTAAAAAAAACGTAATTAACAGAATGCCAATTTATATCATACTGTTTAAAATTAAATTGGTAATGTTTAAAGGTTAAATACATCTTATACAGTAGAACCTCTTTAATCCGAACCCCCGTAATCCGAACCCCCGTAATCCGAACGTCCACTAATCCGAACGCCTCATTGAACTGTACTCTATACACAGTACAGTAGTTATTTATTGTATACGTACGCACCATAATTGTTTCTATTGTAATTTACAGTACTGTTTATTTATTATGTTTACTACTGTATTAAATAAACACTGTATTATAGGCCCTACTTTATAAAGCATTTTTTCACTCTTCCTGTAACAATTAAGAGCCATTTTAGCCACATTTTAGCTATTCTTATGTAAAAACAACAATATGATCTGTAATCCGAACTATTCAATAATCCGAACTACCCCCGGTCCCAATTAGTTCGGATTAAAGAGGTTTTACTGTATATTGAGTAATCTCCAGTTGAGCCCATAATCCCTCATTTTTTGGGGACACTAAAACTTTTCAAAACTTTTCTAACACAAAGCTGCCTGTATCCATGTACAAGACCGATTAACCGGATAACACGGCGTAAAAATTATTACCGGTGGAAGTACATATGCCCGGCTATCATTACCTACTGTGGACCTGGAACAAAATTCGGCGGTAAAAATTATTACCGGTGGAAGTGCATATGCACGGATATCATTACTTTGGACCTGGAACAAAATTGAAAAAAAACAGCTATATACAGTACTGTGTATTTGCTCGACTCTCGATAGTCTAGATTTTTCGTAAGACAGCTTTGTGTTAGTAAAAAAATCGGGAATAATCGGTCTTGTACATGGATACAGACAGCTTTGTGTTAGTAAAAAAATCGGGGGAAATCGGTCTTGTACATGGATACAGACAGCTTTATGTTAGTACAAAAATCGGGGAAAAAATCGGATCCATGAAAACCGGATCCAGCCCAAGATCCGGAATTTTTTGGATCCGATCGGGTGCCAGTTCTGGTTCCGATCCAGTAGTCTGATATCCGGATCCGACCATCACTAGTATTTACACTTATACTGTTTACTCACAAGACAGTAAATACATATGAAGGATGATAATAATTGTAAAAAAAATCTAAAAAAATGAGTGCACAATAACTGAAATCCAGGGAGACAGCGAGACAACTGTATAGATTGTTACCTTATCAGTAGATATGTGTATCTGGTAGGCGTGCTGGTGAGAGAACAACTGGGGGTTGACTACACAAGTGACCTGACTAGACACAGGTCTACCACAGGAAGGCTGTACATCTTTTACTCTCACATCCAGTCCCAGCTTGAGCAACTGACTACGGTGGATCTCCCACACATTCAGTATCCTACAAAAATCAAGGAACCGAGCAAAGCCAATTAGATTACAGGTATCATCTTAAAAATCTGAATCCACAAAACCACAAGAAAAGATTGGATTCCAGAAATTAATCTCGAGTCATATATTTAGAAACACCTGCCATTTTCCTACGCTATCTTAGAACTTGTGGCTCTTTCAAGATTGCAAATGCAAAGTATCAAATGAAGATGTTCAAGGGGCAAACCTTTGTGAAAAAATTCAATTTCTATCTTTGAAGCAAGATTTAAATATTTTAGGGGTTATTCAGCAAATAATCTTGTAGCCTAATATTATTAAGGATACATAGGCCTATGTCAGTAAACCAAGGATCAATCTCGTCCCTTCCGCACTCAACAAGATGCTGAGTAGCTAAGATGGTTACTCACTCGTGAACATTTGTGGAGCTCTGTACAACACTGATCTGCAGTTGGGGGTCTGGTACAAACGGAGGCCCGGCCAGCTCCAACATGTGATGAGGCTGTGGCCACAAGAGATGCAGGCTAGGGTTGGTCACCAAAGGTCTCACCGGAGTACTGATGTGGGTCCGTACCAGGTTCTCTATAACCTGTAGGGAAACATGTTACAACTGTAATAGTTACTCTTTTTAACAAAGATTATTATTTAAAAGATAGGTAAATGTGTTGTGATCAAAATGAGGGAATATTTATTTTAGGAGGAATAGATGAATTTCATCATCATCATCCTCACTCGCGATAGTGGCAAAATTCTGAATATGTCCCGCAGTCACAGAAACGACGTTACCATCGTCATCAGCCAGCGCATCATAATCCTGAATATCTCCTGCGGTCTCCTGTAATCATCATTGACTTCCACAACCATGAAAACGTTATGTTTAATATCTTCCACGGTGGTGTGGTCATCTACATCATCTTCTGAGGTCACAGCGATTATGGGAACTTTATCAACTTCATCCAAATTGTTTGCTCGTGCGAACTTTGCAGATGCGTTTTACAATAGCGATTGTAAAAGCTCGACTCGAGCTTGATTTTCCGACTTTGTGCTCAATCCCTCAAAAATGCTGCTCAAAAATCTAGCCGCTCGCACAAATCTAATAAAAACTGAATAGCCAGGCCAATGTTAGAAAACTTATCTGAATAAAACCCCCAAGTTTAAAAAATAATTGGATACCCCACCAGATTATCTCACCTTGACCCAAAGCTAAAAGCTTTGGGCTCCAGTGCCCCTAAAAAGAACCTGTCTACTGAAAATCCTACACCAGTGCCACCTCAAACTGCCCCCCCCCCCTCAGAACAAGTACGATCTGACATCAACAGGCTTCTGTAGGTCAGCAAAACAAGTTTTTTTTTGCACACAACATCACCAAACACTTTATCTTCACAACTTGATTCCTCAAATAACAGTAGTGTATTTACAGCTACTCACCTGCTCCAGTTTAGGGGACAGGTCCAGAGAGCTAGCATGGTTTAGTGAGTGATCCAGTGGTGCTATCTGTTGTTGCTTCTCATGATGTCCGTTTGTGATGTGGTCAGTTTTGTTCCTCATGTGGTAAGAGTCCACAGAGATGCTGCGGGCTGGTCTTGTGTGCTTCTTCAGATTGACCATGGGCATTGCCTCTGAAAAGATAAATGCTTGATATTCACATGAAAAATTTACTACTTGCTGGTGTTACTTATGTTGTCGTCTGTATTGCTTATATTAAACAACATAAACGTGCTGTGTTACTTGTAAATGTTGATTGCTCACCAGAAGGTCCGTAGTTGTTGTTGTCCAGCAGTGTTGCCAACTGAGGTCTGTTATGCAGCATGTCTAGAGGGGTTGTGCCAATGTGTTTACCTCTAGTAGCTCTAATACCTAGGTCTGGCCCTCCACACAGCAACTCCGCTATCACCTGCACAGCGCACAGCATCAATAGTATAGTCTACCTATGCCGATAATCAGTTTGGATCTAAGTTATAGAATATAGAAAACAGATTTAATTATTAAACCTATTTTAAGTATGGTGTGGAAATTGAATAAATTAAGACAGGGAAATTTATTTACCTCAGCCTCCCCTCTATCAATGGCTTCATGAAGAGGTGTAGCTCCCCAACTGTTGACTGCATTCATATCAGCTCCTTGTTCTGCAAAACACATAGGCTACTCGTAATAAAGGGGACTTGTAAATTAAAAAAGTAAAACGAGTTTAACAAAAACTTATTAACAAAATGAGACCCTCAGAATAACTTTTCTTTTTTTAAGTGAAAAACATAATAACATAATAAATGCCTTATGTAAAAATTCTGCAAACAAAGTTACAAAAGAGTGCTGAAATTGTTATTTGTCTACCTAATGTGGGAAGTGGCACTTTGCTATACACAAGAGAAATGGACACGAGCCGTAGGCGAGTGTGGAAAGTTTCTCAAGTGCAGCAAAGGCACTTTGCACTCGCGTTACACATATTTTTACTAAAGTTACTGTACTATAAAGCATATAAATAATTAAGTCTTTCAAACACTGTCCAAACCTTTTTATGTTAGGTTCAAACCAAACATTGAACGGAAAGGGAAACGCTGCTTCCAGGAAAGGGAACCAGCTGATCGTAGTCGTAATATCTTTCAGTGTTGCCAACCTATTTTCAAGCGTACAAGTATTGAGTGCCTAATAAAAGCACGCTGTTTTGTGTTGTTTGGTTGGAATACTGGTGTGCGGCAAAAAAAAGTCTACAGAGATACCCTATTACATTCACTCACCAATGAGGTAAGCGACCACTTGACTGTCGGCGTAGCACGCTGCCCAGTGTAGAGGGGTGTTGCGAGTCGCGTCACTGTCCCAAGTGTTGACATCCACTCCTGCCTTCACCAACTGGTAAACTCTCTCCAATCTGCAACAGAATAAACTCTGCTCTATACCAAGTGGTGATTAGAATAATCGACTGTTGGACAGTAAAGTAGACATCCCGTCTATATGTAGAATTGTTATTCAAACTGAGCTTAGGTGAATGAACAAATGAGTGTAATGCAACATATAAAACATACTCCCTTAGAAGATTTCTCATCCCTATGTAACAGCTGAAGCCAATTTTATTGTTAGTTCAGTCCGAAGCACTGTAGAGGTTGTGTTTTCTTTATAACTTGTTTCTTGTTATTTCAGTTGATTAAAACCTCGTTTAACCAAATAAAACGATCAAATCATAAACAATAACTCGTCTCCTACTTATAAAAACAAAGAGTAAAGCACAAATCATGAAATTAACCCTAGAACAATAAAAACCAAATTTCGTCGACACTAGCGATCACTGATCAGTGTCACCGGACACCAAATAGAGACGAAAAACAAGCTTCAAAATTTACAATGGGATGAGAAGTCTATTTGTGTTGGTTAGTCTATGGTTATTCTGACAAGTTATATTTTATCCCTTATTTGATTCTTTAAAATAGGCTAGTTGGATGTGACATCAAAGATACTACGTTTAAAAAATGTTGTCTCTCAGTTTGGCTTGGTAGATTAACAAGTTGGTCTGTTTTGGAACAAAGTATAGTAGTCGTATTTAGTGTGGGCGTGCGGCCGCGCTAGGGCCCAGGGTGTAGGGGGGAGTGGTTATTGCTCCTTCCCAAAAACATCTGGCCCACATGGCTCTGGGGTTGTTCAGCTGTCTTCATGGCATTTACCTAGCCCCCAGAGGGGAGGTAAATGCTCCGTGTTGGTATCGGCATTTTCAAGTTGGCCACAGACATGGTCGACTGGGCATCGGGTCCCAGTGACATTCCTTTATCCAGGATGGAGGGGTGTTTAGCTCTAGGAGAGATGGAAGTACATCATAATCTCTAACCTACCTGTGTCTGTGGTTCTTTGGGCTTCGGCCTGCTTGTTGTGTGCGACCAGCATTCAGTGGGCAAATCCTCGACTTTGGAAGTAACCTTTCCTGGAGGTGAAAACGGGCAAGTACCCGCAGCTCACGGGGACACTCAAGGGCAACGTAACTTTCCGCAGTGTGAGGGCAACGGTTTGTAGGTACTTATGCAAACTTATCCCTGTCTCTGAGCACGGACGGTATGGTTATCTTGAGTGTGGGGGGTTCTTCCCGGAACCTCAATTGAGTTAAGGGTGTCGCCACCTCTGGTGGATAGGTTCATCCGGGTGGGTCCCACTTCTATACCTGCCTCCTTTTGGGAAACCCTGATGGCCTGGCAGTGATGTTGGGTCTGACGGGCAAACGAAGTAGATCGGGTGCTGGGTCCGAGCCCGCCAGGGGTATCTGGGGATCTATCGCTCTGGTTATCTCTGGTTTCCCAGCAATGGGTAAGGCCTCGATCGGGCAGCGGTGTAAATGGGAGGTTGGGGTTCCCCCCGTCAGCGTGCTGATGGTCCCCTTCCTCCTGGCTATTGATGGCGGGTTCTGCCTGTCAGGGATTAGATAGGTCCCGAGTGTTGCTTGCACTAAATGCGTCGGGGCGCTCTACTATGGACCTCTAGGTTCCGACCTAGTGGAACCCAGGTGGAGTGACGCTTAAACAAGCAGCCGGAATCCCTGGTTAGGATTGAGGGGCAACCCTCTTTCCGAAGGGTCTGCTTCGGCAGCCGGCGAGCCTGATGACCTTAAGTCATCCGCCCATGATGTGCTAAAGGTTGATGCGTAAGCTTCGGCCTACATCATGGGGCCCGGGTATGTCCTGAAGGATAGGTACCGGGTAAGCAGTCAGGGGGCTTCGGCTCTCATGACAACAAATGTAATGTAATGTAATGTAATGTCTTCATGGCTAGGCGTAGTGGAGGGGGTGGGTGACATGTACACAGGATGGCTAGTAGGAACGGAACCGCGCGCCCAGACTGCTTGCGCTTACTTTACAGTATACTATGTTACAGAAACCATTAACCATTATGTAGCCTATGTGGTGATTGACATTAATACACTTTCTCAACAATGTGTTCATTTTACTTTCTCCCCCTATCCCCTAATTTTGTATAGGCTACGGAGAAAGTATTGTTTCATCAAAATATTCAAGTTTGAGTATTGAGTGCATATATCCAGTTTGAGTCCCCATGGACCCATAAAAGTGGTTTTATAATAGTGATGTCTGTGTGTGTGTGTCTAGGTATTTGTGAATGTGTACAGAACTACAGACCACGCCTGTGGTCCAATTTTGATGAAATTTGGTGTGTAGGTACTAATCCATATTATCTCCAGGGGTTTTTTCATTTTTAAAAATTTTGATTTTAAGGGTGATTTTTCCATAAAAACCCATAAATCAACAGAAAATTAGAATTTTCACAAAAAAGGCCTGAATGATTTCCATAAAATTTTTGAATGTTATATCCCTTTAAATTCTTAACAAAATGGTAGGCCTATAACTCCCATTGCTATAAAAATTATAGTTAAAAAATTATTGTAACTTATGTTATTTTCCCATAAAAAATCCCATAACAGAAAATCGGATTTTCAAAAAAAGCCTGTTTTGCTTAAAATTTGTTTGTTATAGTCCTCATAGTTCTAAACAAAATAGTGCATCCACCTATTGTTGCTGTAAAATTTACGGTTCAAATTACCTATGCAAGTTTATTGGCGGGTTATTGCAACTTTTGTGATTTCCCCTATCAAATATCATAGTTACTCTCATCGCTACTCCCATGACAAATCTTGTTAACAGAATGTATTTATTTTCAAACACAGCTTAAAAATAGTTATGGAATGTCTACTTCTATCATTTTTCAAAGTTATAGTTACAGTATAGATTAAAATAATTGCCCATAGTACTCACAGTAATTCACAGTAAAAAACTATATTAGTTCTATAATTTCGAGGTTAATAAAACAAGAATAAGATTATTAACACAATCATTGATGTATACCAAAAAACTTTAAATGTAAAAAGCATAAATTAAGTTATAGGCCTAGTACCTGCAGTTATCTCAGTCACAGTTGTTTGGTAGTTTACCTTGATAATTGAAAAAATTGACGGGTGATATCACAGATGACAACTGTTTCTGTATCTCAATTTATGAGCAATAGATAGTTAATGTTGCAAATGTTAATTCTTTAACCATGATCATTTAAATCTTTTGTAGCAATCATGCGGACTAAATTTTAAAAATGTGAATATATTAAGATGATTCAGAACATTCATATGCATAATCAAACGTTTAAATGTAAGCTCACTGGTTATTGTAAGTTTTTCCAACCAAACCAGTAACACTCAGGCTTGTGCAATGAAAATCATTGTAAAAACAGAGAAATAACATGTAGGGGTAAAATACCTTTTACGGCGAATATCTCTCTTGACATTTTAAATAAAAATTAGCCATTTTATCTACAAATTTTAAGATAAAAACTAATGTGATGAAGATAAAAATGAATAGAGTGTGGATTAATGATCGGTATCTTTATCAATGACTAAGATCAACTTACTTATGTCTTATGTTACTTATGTGTTTTTACTTATGACTAGGATCAACTGCAAAAACTTACTGTGAATTAGCTATTGCTCGTAGCAGTTCCTCCACGAACGTATGCTTGGTCTGTTCAGAAGAAGCTAGTTCCAGGGCATTGAGGTTCTCCTGGTTTCGTACACTGGGATCTGCCCCCGCAGCCAGTAAAGTGCGAACAATGTCTGTTCGGTTTAGCTACAAAATTTGATTATTTGTTAAAAACAGTATGTTATGATTATTTAATATTACACATTTCAATTGCAAATGTGGTGAGTTTTAACTACAGATAAAAAACATTTGAAGCAGTCAAGGATACTGTACCGGTACAAAAGTTGTTGTTAGGCCAGCTTTTTGGTTTCAATGGCGAAAGTGAAAAGGTAAAGTAAGTAGGTAGGCTGTAAAGATTTAAATGTTGTTTTGTGGCAATAGTAGCTGATATTTAATACACAAGCATTATGTGTCAAATGAGGATTCAATTTTAATTTCCATTTCAATTTTTTTATCACACATCTTTATCAGAGCATTGTTCAGTGAGTTCTGTAGGGATTTTGAAATCTTATGCGTAAACATTATTCAATGACCGTTAAATTTGAAATCCACTAAAAATCATTTCATGTTAACTTTTTCTCTTATTGCAGCTTACAGTTCTTAAAACAAAACGTTCTAGAGGAAAAGCGTATACACCAAAGAAAACATATTTCAAATTATCTTCATTCTGTCTACAGATAGGCCTACATTAATTTTAAACATTTGAAACAAGTTACAAACAAGAAACAAAGTTTTGTTACAGTTGCTTTGAGAAAAATATTTAAAATATGTAAATCTAAAATTCCAACAGTGATATTTAAATATTGAAAATTGCTATACTCGTTGGCATTTCAAGTGTATGAATATCAAATAGAGAAGCATTAAAACATCAAAACCCTAAATGAGCCCACATACAAAACACCGTTTGTTTAAAAATTTCCAAATAAAAAAACATCTCAATATTCACAAGTGTCAAAACAAATTTCCACAATAATAAACGTAATGATTGTTATAAAAAATGAACAACCGACTGCTTACAACCGACTGTTTACATTTCCCACAATGGAGACACCTTTATCACAGACCACACTTCATATTTGCTGTGCACCTTTTATCAGTAAGATCTTTACGGTGTTCTATAGAGCACCAACTGTATTCTCAGTCTTTTTAGAAAATGAAAGTGTGTTAAAGTTTCCTCCTTAAGCAAAAGTGTGTTTCATATTAGGTGCATTCAAGTATCATATTAGGTGCATTCAAGTATATCCTTTTTGATAGGTAATGTTCAACTAGAATTTCATCTATTGATACATTTATATAATCCATTACGTAAATATCTGGGTGAGGAGGGTTAGAACAAAACAGTGATTTGGAATGAAAACATTTTTTGTAGCATCCCCAAGTAGTATTTAGGTTGATTGGGTCCTTGTCATGGGAGTGACCTTAATTTATATGTTACATCGCATTTAATGTAAGATGAACCTCAGGTACGACATGGGTAGAAAGTTTACTAACACCTATAGGCCTATATGTAGGATATTTTGTTAAAAATTACAAAACTAATTTAAAACATTATTAAAGAGTGATTTTTTTAGTGGTGCAATTTTTAAAAAACGGAATTTAAAAATAAAAATAAATTGCAATGACATAAAAATGCATTTATTTTAACGACATTGTAATGACATTAGGTAGTGTTTACTGTTGTGTGTCGAACTGATTCACCAAAGCTCGAAAACCTGACTCCATCTGATGGACGATTACATGGTCCTTAGATCAGACGAAGTAGACAGAAAGTTGCCCAAACTGATCTATGGTTTTCAAAATAAATTTGCACAATTCGCAAAGTTCCTATTTTGTAAGTCTATTCATGATTAGCCCACTATAGACACATAATAAGCACTAGACAATACAAATAATGAAATGAGAGGAGATAACAAACATTACAAGTATTAACTGATTTTAATTTTATTGTTGTGTTAAGCAATGCTACCAACTTCAAAACCACACAACTAAAAAAATCACCTTTCATTAAGAAGAATTAATCTATATGCCTTACTTTTGCAGCAAAAACTAAAAAACCACACAACTAAAAAAATCACCTTTTATTAAGACGAGTTAATCTATATGCCTTACTTTTGCAGCAAAACACAGAAATGATCCTTCGTCCAGTACAAGCTCATCCAATAGTTTCCCCTTTTCTGCTTCACTTTCAACAGAGCTGCTTTTGCTGCCTTAAAAAGAAGGATTATTTAGTAATTTTGGGTTTATAGAATTGATACTTTTTTTATAACTTATTGCCTAAACCTGATGAATAAACAGAGGGAGCTTCACAAAAAATGTAAACAAGATACCCCCGCCGCAGCAAACCTGCCGTCTAAGCGAATTTCCATTTGGCCGAATTGATTTTCAATTGATCTATTTAAATAACATTAGGTTTAACGAGTACCTAGGTTTGCTGCTACAAGGAAACTAATAAAGTAGTGTGTTTTTAGTAAAATATTGATAGCTTACTATAAAATAAATAAATTTGCCAAGTTTGATCAAAATATATCCATAAACAAGCAAACTACAACATTTTACAATATTCTCCATAAGAATAACATGGGAATTTTAAATTTACCATTTTTTTAGTTTTCTCCGTAACCAATAACCGTACAAAAACACTTTGATATACTGAATTGTTTGTTTTTTTAAGTTCTTTAAGAAGGTTTAGAGAAAAATTGGGAAATTTTGTGTTTTGAGGGTAAAAAGTGAGAAAAACCTATTTTTACCCCATAAAACCCTGTTCCCATGGTCCGATCATGCTGGATCGCGAACTCATTCAAGTTTATCCCGCCTTACACCTTCAAACCAAATTTCATCAAAATGGGATAAAAATTACTCAAGTTATCGTGTTCACGGACACATATATATATATATATAAATCTATATATATATATATATATAGGCCTATATATATATATATATACATATATTAAAATCTGAACGAATGGTGTTTTTGGCCTCTGGGGACATTAAAATGAAAAAGTAAATCGGTCCCGGGCCTAAGTCTTACCATGAGACCTACGGTATAGCTACTTCCCTATAGGGAAATTCGCTAAAAGAAAGTTATGAGTCGAGAATAATAAATCCTCCCGCTGCAGCAAACCTGCAGACTAAGCGAATTCCCATTTGCCTGATTGGACTTTCACTTATTTACCAAGTTATACATCCATAAGCAAGCAAACTGAAGATTATGAAGGTAAAGTGTAGGCCTAGGTTGTAGTGAACCGAGTTGTTTATTTATATATTAGCCTACATATTACGAATACGATATATTATCCAGGCTGTTTTTTGCTACCTATTAAAATAGTGGGTTAAACCAAACAAAATAATGATTTAAATAACAATTTTCTGGTGAGGAAATATCATAACAAATAGTCAGTAGATTAACACAAGTAAATAAAACTTTAACCGATCGTAGTTTTTTTAATATTTGTGTGTTAGAAACCTTGACCTTGTGTGCAGAAATATTTGACCGGCTTATGATTCGCCAGCAGTTAGAGGAAGGCTATTTCTATAAAGAATAACTTCTCTTTATTTTTACTTGTGGTGTGCGAAGCTGACGCTGAGGGCAACTGGTAATTTATAGGCGCAGGGGTAAGGTTAGAGGGGAAGTGTTGCAAACAGCGTAGATGTATCCTACTGAAACACGTTTCTTTCTATGGTTATCTTTATCTGTTGGAAATAATATTTATGTTGTAAACACTATGAACTGTTTGAAAACTTACTGTTATTAACCTTAACTTACTTTGAATCGTTTTGGTAGGTACCTAAATCGGTTAGCCTTACTTAGGGTATTCTATGTTTATGCGTTCTTCCTCACGTTCGATTCACCAAGTATTGTCGTCGGAGCTTATGTTTATGTAACTTAATGCATGACGTTTTGTAGCATTACTGTTTGAAGAACTAAGAATTTTTCTGCAGAAACTAAAGTTGTGGACTTAAAACAGAAATAACTTTTCTGAAAAAAAAAAACAAATTTATTAACTTCATATTATAGCCATTTTTTGCAGAAACTGATAGGCCTACAGTTTAAGTGTAAGAAAGAGCCATGTGGCCCTTTGAACTTTGGTTGTGAAAATTCTGTGACATGCCCGTAAGTAAGCTTAGTTCTGCTTTAGGGGTACCTAAATAACTTATATTGTATCCTAAACAACCTGTCATTATCACAGCACAGTGTGGTTTCACTCCCGCTGTTAAACAAGCTTTATAGATAAAAATACCACCGCCGCAGCAAACCTGACGCCTAAGCGAATTTCCATTTGGCTGAATTGATTTTCAATTGATCTATTTAAATAACATTAGGTTTAACGAGTACCTAGGTTTGCTGCTACAAGGAAACTAATAAAGTGTGTGTTTTAAGTAAAATAATTATTGCTTAGTATAAAATGAATATATTTGCCAAGTTTGATCAAAAGATATCCATAAACAAGCAAACTACAATATTCTCCATAAGAATAACATGAGAATTTTAAATTTACCATTTTTTAGTTTTCTCCGTAACCAATAACCGTACAAAAACACTTTGATATACTGAATTGTTTGTTTTTTTTAAGCTCTTTAAGAAGGTTTAGAGAAAAATTGGGAAATTTTGTGTTTTGAGGGTCAAAAGTGAGAAAAACCAATTTTTACCCCATAAAACCCCCCATAAAACCCTGTTCCCATGGTCCGATCATGCTGGATTGCGAACTCATTCAAGTTTATCCCGCCTTACACCTTCAAACCAAATTTCATCAAAATCGGATAAAAATTACTCAAGTTATCGTGTTCACGGACACACATATATATATATATATATACATATATAAAAATTTGAACGAGTGGTGTTTTTGGCCTCTGGGGACATCAAAATGAAAAAGTAAATCGGTCCCGGGCCTAAGTCTTACCATGAGACCTACGGTAATAGCTACTTCCCTATAGGGAAATTCGCTAATAGTTTGGCAGCCAGAAGATCAACCATGGAAATGGTAGCCTAATAGGCCTAGTGATAAGTTTATCGTAGAGAGTGATTATCTAGAGTAACTTAAATTAGGTAAATTCCTAACTTAGCCTAAGTACAAAGATTTGCAAATTCAATCACACCAAAGCTGTACCCACATATAAGCCAATTATTTAACCGGATGGTTGAAAAGGGGATGGTTCTTGATTGAGAACTCCTTTAAGACCTTAGTAAAATAAATCCACTCTAGTTAATCCCATATTCAAAAATAAGGGGGTCTGTTAACTCTAACAAAGTTTTGGAGCATAACTTAATAAGCCCAACATGTCTAGCCTATCCTTATACTCTATTAGTCTATATAAACTAAATAGGACTACGCCTATTGTCGAGTTAAATCAAATGATTTACACTTACAACTATCTAAGATAGTTTTGACTATGTCAGTCCTTCCATATTCAATTGCAGTTCTCATGTCATCGTGTATTTCTTCAATTATCATTTTCTAACATCAGATAAAACCTACGGTGAAATAGTTGGGCTTGAGATAAGTAACAAATCGATGTTTTAAACTAAGAAATTCTTACACATTTTATGCAAATAAGTAAACAATATCAGACGAAACAACAGTTTCAGTCAGATACAGTAGTTACAGACAATGACAATAGCATCAACCAACCAGAGCAAAGCACACAAGACACATGACTAAAAAGAAAATAATGAAAAAATATACCGGTGGTAAACTGAAAAGAGAGAGACTAGAGAGTAAATCGGTAGTAAAACCGGGTCTGACTTAGGGGAGGTACAAATGAGGCATTTAGTTCAAAATTCCTCCGCGAACAGCGCTGTAGTAGAGAGCACTTTGGCAATGAAGGTTTACTAATCGCAAAAATAGTTCTGTTCATAAAATAAAATTATAAATGCCTCAAATTCAATTTTACTATTTTTTAATTATAAAATTAAACTATCATAACCTAACCGAACTAACCAAACTTGCTGATAAAGAAATAATATAACAAAAGTTTAGTAATCGGAAAAATAATTCTGTTTATTAAATAAAACTAGAAATTGCTCAATTAAAATTTTATAATGACTTAATAATAAAATTAAACTGTAATAACCAAACCAAACCAACCAAACTTGCTGATAATAAAAAAAATCTTGGACAAAAAGTTAACGCTACCAGCGGGATTCGAACCCGGGACCTACAGTAAAAAACTACTACTACTACAACTACTACTACAATTTTATGGTGTTCAAATTAATGCTTTAAAACTGCTGAAGACATATCTTTGTAACCGAAGACAGATGGTTTGCTGTGGGGGTCGGTGGTCCGCAGTTGCCTTAAGCAACTGTGGGGTACCACAAGGCTCTGTCTTGGGCCCTCTGCTATTCTTAATCTCTATAAATGATCTTCCATCCAGTCTCAAATGTAACACATACCTTTATGCTGATGACACAACTTTGCTTACACACAGCAGAGATTTAGAATCTCTTGAGCTCGAGGCAAAAAACTCAGTAAAGGTAGCAGCAGAATGGTTCTCTGCGAATAGCTTTCTGTTAAACGATGAGAAAACCCAAACTGTTGTCTTTGGACTTCGTAAAATTCCTGAAGCACAATGTGATAAGGTCAAAGTTGTTAAGTTTTTGGGTGTTTATGTGGATCAACTCCTGTCATGGTCATATCATGTTGAACATCTCTGTACTAGACTAAGTAGATTGACATTTCTTTTCAGAAAACTCAATGATGTTGTTCCTTTTGACTATATAAAAACTGCCTATTTTGCACTTTTCCAATCAGCTCTTAATTATGGAATAATCTTTTGGGGCAGCAGCCCTTACATCACTGATGTTCTTTTAATACAGAAAAAGGTGATCAGGATCATGGCAAATGCCAATCACAAGGAACACTGCAGACCAATTTTTGTAGATTTTAAGATTTTGACCGTTGTTAATTTATTTTTATATAACATTTTGTTGACTAGTTTTAAGAACCTGAAATCCCACACTCTTAGGGGTGATGTACACAAGTTTAATACTAGGAATAGAGGTAAAATTGACATCCCTTATGTTAGACTTGAAAAAATGAAATCTTATTATGAAGTACTGGGACTCAAATGCCTAAATAAACTCCCCAAGGAAATACTGTTATTGAACAACAAAGCCTTCAAAAATAAAATTCTTCTGTGGCTGACTGTACACCCTTTTTATGGGCTGGGAGAATTTTTTGAATGTTCAACCAAAGAAATCATAATCTAGTCACTGCCTTGTTCTAAGTATTTTTTTTCACTGAATTTTATCTTGTTATCTATTTTTTTCTGTAAGTATACCGTAGTCTTCACTGTGCCATCTAAATGACCTTTGTAACTATTTGATTTTTTTTTGTCTATGCCTTATTTGTTATGTACTGTAATTTATCTTTGACTTGTGTTTTTGCAGCATGTATTCAACTTTTTTGACGTATCCTAATGCATGTACATGTCTAATGGAATAAAATATTGATTCTGATTCTGATTCTGATTCAGTAGATCAGCCCGGCACGCTAACCAATAGACCACCGAGGCCGATGGCTGTTGGACGTTTTGTTACGTTAATGGCGTTCCCTCAGCTAATAAGAAGATCTCAGCTGTCATCGTAGCCTCTTCTATACCTCCCCTGAGTAAATACCAGTAAAACCATGGATAAAACCATAGACTAACCAAAACATACTCCCTTGTAAAACTCGTAAAACTACTCAATACCGCTGCACTCAGTCGCGCAGTCCTGATTCTAATTGGCATTGATTTTAGAAACTAGTGAAGATAAAAGATGTAAGTAAAAATATATTAATCTTAACGACAAAAAATTAATTCAGCTCCAGCCATTCCATATAAAAAAACTAACCATCATAACTAACTAAGTTCCTGAGTAATTGATGGTAATTGGTTGATAGCCAGAGGTACCAGATGGTTGACATCCCACCAACGTTTCTTACTGTTAATACTGTTCGATGAAATGGCGGGGATGCGGAATACTATCCCCCGGAAAACTACCCCCCCAGGTGAAACGTGACGTCACAAAATCTGCTAACTAACCAACATGGAAGCCGTGTCCGCGACTGGAATACTACCCCCCTAGAAAAATCATGCTATGTAATTTTAATTTTAATTAGAGTAATTCAGTTGGATAATAGAAAAGGCATGTGGTGAATATAAAACAGATTTTCGAAATGTTACAGCAAGTTTGGTTGGTTAGGTTAGGTTAGATTAGAACTGTTTTACAACTAAATTTTAATGTCCGTGACTGGAAAACTGTCCCCCCGGTCTCTGACGTCAATATGACGTAGGAACCTGCTTGGGGGGGTAGTTTTCCGGGGGGCAGTCTTCCGGCGACCCGTCGCCATTTCGGGTTAGTATAACACTAGTTATACAACTAGTTATACATAGTTGTAGTACAACTAGTTATAGTAGTGTATGTATAACTAGTATAGTACAACTAGTTATACATACATAGTACAATAGTCAATGATAGTAGGTATTTTAAGCCAAGTATGAATGGAGATGAGTGTAGGATGAGTGGCGCGATCTTGTAGTCTTGTTAGTAACTAAGGCCGACATTCCTCAGACACAGCTGATAATTAATAGCCCGTACAGCTAATGGCAACTAACGGACCTACAGTTTATAGTGGAATCTGAACCACATTTTTCCTTGGTATATACGAATTGGTCTATTTATCAGGATAGTACTGCGGATAGTCGTAGTACTCACTCGTGCGGACGTTAATCCACACCAGGGAGTATCACATCTACAGTGCATGCCTATAAATATCCACAATTCGTGACCTCCTAGTAGTTGGATTACAGAACGACGCCACCCGTCCCAGTCAACGTTACATGTATGTCGATGATTAAAGACGACCCCAGCTCCCCTAAAACCACCCCTAGAGTTTACAATAAGCTGTCCTTTCAGTTTATTTTGGCCAAAAAATTGAAACAGTCTGTGGGAATCAGTAATATAAATCAGCTCACTCTCTTAGTGGCTCATTTTGACTACTTGCATTTAAATTTTAATTATAGCTACAGCAAGAGAATTGAATGTCTAGTTTCATCAACAGACAGAGGTTCAACACAGTCAATGAATACACAAACTATAGTTTGTGTATTCATTGACACAGTTCTCGCTCAGAACTCTAAATTCAGGTTAAAATTCATCTATCTAAGTCATAAGAGTGCGTTACAGTTTTAATGGTCAATGAGTCCATTAAATTATATATCATTAATTATAATTAATAACCAATTGAGATGGGAACGCTAACCCATATATGAGTGAAGGATAAGTGTGGAATGAATCTGGAATAAGATTAAATTTTAAAAGTGTCCTTTAAAGCACGATATGTTTTTGACTGCTATAATCTGGCAATTCAATCATCATTGCTCTCTGATATGTCGTGAATACAGTAACAGATTCATAACGAATAAATCCTTTGTGTGCACTACAAATTAGTATCGATAGCGATTGATCAATATAAATTGTCTGGGTAGCTGAGTAGTTATTTTGTAGAAGTGCGTTGGTTCTGTTGTATTCGAAGAAAGATCGCTGGGCCCAAATTTCAAGTGTACTTTACTGTACAAGACCAGGGTGTGGGCCATTCCCTGACAAAACCCGTATACAATGCTAATAACGTAGACATACGAAAATACAAATAAAATAGATCGGCCAATTGACAATAGGTAGAAGAGTGAATTTAGCTCGAAAATCCCTATCTCTATTTAATCTCATTAAACCTGGTGTTTATTTATTTAGACAATAATAGGGTTTTTACATACCTCAGTCAAATAGTCCAAAAATGGTATTGCTCAACAGCTTACATGTTTTGTTGCGAAGACAACATTATCAAAGCTTGCAACTCGTCAAAAACACATTTAAAACACGACGAGTTGCAAGCTTTGATAATGTTGTCTTCGCAACGAAACATGTAAGCTGTTGAGCAATACCATTTTTGGACTATTTGACTGAGGTATGTAAAAAACCTATTATTGTCTTAACAATATAGTCCAGGGGCCGAAAACATGAATTTTGATTTATTTATTCTCAACGTCAAACACCATTTTACAAACAATACGTTATACAATTCAATACATTAGCAAGTAAGCAATAGCAAAAGTAATTCTAAGGTAGCATAAGAAGGTGTTGATGGGTTAAGAGTAAGGAGGCCCTGAAAATAACCATTCTCGTTTTTCATTACCTTTTGCTGTTTTCTTTGGTTCCTCATACTGGTGTCAGTATAATGAAATAAGATGTATATTATTGTCAGATCAAGATCAAATACTTACTACTCTTTGGTCAGTTCTTCTTCTTCTTCGGTTACACATCCGCAAATATTCTTTCTTTCTAGGTTCGGGACTCACCAATAGTTAAGGTTAGTTGACAATTTCCTTATAGGCTAATTTAATGTCATAGTATTAATAAAATACATGTTGTTATTTAGATTTTTCAGTAATTAAGCTGTCCCAATTATTCACAGTGCCAATTTATGAAATCTCATTTGAGGTTTATTCTTATAATGGTAACTGTAGTTTAAGGTAGGATACACACGTGGAATTCGCTCAACACCGACATGCATTTCCATGACTAAGATTTCATTAAAATTTGCTGTAATTAATTACTTTGAAAGCAACTAATATTCTCTACAGATACTAACTTACATTAAGAATCTAAATAACACGATTGTTTACAACTAGGCCTAAGTTACCGGTATTGCAGTGAGTGATCGAGGGGTTTGACTCAGGTCCAGGTGGAGAGCCTTGGCTTGGCTAGGTCTAGGCCTAGCCTTCAATTCAGATCAATTGCACAGTTTATTAACTAAGCTACCCTAATATCGATTCGATTATAAAACGTTCAGGGTACACTTCCATAATCTTTTGGCACAATCAACCGAATGAGTAATATTGATTATTCGATTGTTTAATTCAATAAGTATATTGTTTGGTTAGTTATGTTAGGTTAACCCTCCGAGTGTTTAACACACTTTGTGTAGTGTTTTGTGTCGATTTTTCGACTCACAAACACTGTTTACAGCAAAGGCTCTAGCCTATGACTGACAAAATCGGATTGAACTGGATCGAGTTAGGTATCATTTTTTTCGTTAGATTCTAAGCTTTCTAAAGGTCTGTCTCTAAGCGCTGTATGTTCTCCGAGCCGATCGTAATTGTAGCAGACAGCTGACGTGCATATTTGTAAACAGGTTAGTTAACCTCGGACCGATGACTGATGTGTTTTATTATGTTTATCATTGTTTTAGAGTTAAAAATCAAAAGTAGTGATATACGTGGTGCATTATAAGAAGATTTAAGTGATTTTGAAGGGCTGGTTGATGATCCTGAAGAAGTAGGTAGTGATATTGATGTAAATTATCAGCCAGATTCCTAGCTATGGTTAGGCTATGCATTCTTAGCTAAACGCTATGTACCGAAATCTGTTTTTTGCCCATAACTTATTTATTTGCAGATCTACTTCCTTATATGATTATATATTTGTAATCCTCATAAAATTTAGAACAAAGTGGCTATTTTCAAATATTTATAGGCCTATAATTTATACAACTTCATTGAGCGCAAACTTATTTTTTTTCTGAAAATTTTCCAAAAATTTTTTTTTTACCTAAAAAATTTTTTGTAACAAATGTTCCTTATGTTTTATGTATAATATTGAAGCCCATGATTTTCCAAACAAAATGGTATATAGAACAGTATAATTAACATTGTTTTTAAGCTACTCAGATCCGTTTTAATAAAACCTTGCAAATGTGCAAAAAATAGGCAAACATTAAGGCCAAAACTAGGGACCCTCGGAGGGTTAACCAATCGATATATCGATTAATCTAAATAGGCTAGCCTATAGATCGATATTTTCATTTGGTTGTTTTTGCCAACAGATATTTGGAAGTGTACCCAACGTTTATTGCAAGTTAGGATAGTTTAGATCAGTTTCATTTGATAATTTTATTGATATAACTTATGCATAGAATAGGCCTATCCCGTAAAAAAAAAATTTAAACAATTACTGCCACTGTAGAGGTTAAAAAAGTTAGGTCTTCTATTCTATTTATGGCTGGACTTTAGTATCTGTCCTACACTCATTCGAATGAAAAATATTGATAAATAGATTATTCAACAACTTATAGCGATTATTTCTTTAGGTTAGTTAGGTTAGGTTAACCTAATTAACCAACCAATAATAACAACTTACGTCAATCAATCCAGTATGTTTATGGAGGACGCACGTTTCGACCTTTAGGTCATCTTCTGCTCCGCTTTTACACTAGGTTGTTACGTACTTAGTTGCATTGTTGGTGTAGCAACCGCGTCAAATAATTTACATTGTGAAACATAGTCAGACCACGTAAACATAAAAACACAAAACAAGACACTGACGAAGACTAAAACATTTAAATACTATCACCGTGCGCACGGCTGAACGGGCTCGGGACTGCGGCGGCACTGACTACCAAGAGGTCTAAAGGTCGAAACGTGCGTCCTCCATAAACATACTGGATTGATTGACGTAAGTTGTTATTATTAAGATAAACATCAATCCGTTTGCTACGAATCAATCATGATAACCAACCAAACTTGATAGCCTATCTATATCAAATGAAATAATCAATATTTTGATCGAGATATTCATTTGAATGAGTGTAGGACAGATGCTAAAATGCAGCCGTATTCATTATTATTATTTTATTTTATTTTTATGCCGTAATTTTAAGTTACTCTGGTGAGATGAATGTCACCTCTTTCAAAGCGGCAGTTCGAAACAGCCTGGGATAAAAGCCATTTTCAATTTGATCTAGCTTATAAGTTATTGCACAGTTGATCAAGTATGTACCGGTACCTAGGGTTGCTGTAACAGGTAGGGTTTTAAGTTTGTTAAATGTGAATAATTATTAGCTTTATAAAATAAATAGAATTTTTATCTTTGATCAAAATTTAAGTTAAGTTATCAATAATCAAGTAAACGCAAGAATAAGTTAACATGGGAATTTTTAAATTTACCCTACAAATTTGAGGAGATTAGGCCTACCTTACAAATTTTCGTACAATTTTTGAAATTTTCTCCGTAAACAATAACTGTTAAAAACACTTCAATATAAGTTAGGCCTAGGTATTCACTTAAATTATAATTTTTTTTAATTAATTATTTTTAGTTGTTAATTTAGTTAATTTAACTTAAGTTGGGTTAAGTTTTGTTAATGTTTTTTATTGTTAGGTAGGCTATAGTTGTTAATTATTGTGTTTAATAGTTTTTTTAATTATTTGTTTAAGCTTTTGATGTGGTTGAAAGAGAAATTGGGGATTTTTATTTTTTAAGGAACACAACTTAAATGGGAAAACCTAATTTTTACCCCATTATGTTTAAACCTCTCACAAAACCCTGTTCCCATGGTCCGATAATGCTGGTTCGCCCTAATTTTTTCCCACCCTAGACTAAATCTTTAAGCTGAATTTAATAAAAATCGGACTAAAATTACTCAAGTTATCGCATCTACAGACGTATAAATCTATATATTTATTGGCTGTATGCCTACATAGATAACAATTTGATCGAATAGTGTTTTTGGCCTCTAGGGACATTAAAATGTAAAAATTATATCGATCCCAGGTCTAGGTTTTGCCATGCTTCCTAGGTAGGCCCTAATCCCTAGTAGCTAATCCCTATTGGAAAATTCTATTAAAACATTATATTAAGGCCTAAGCTACAACCTATATATAAAACAAAGTATTCAAGTTTTTTTAAAGTAGGCCTACATCGACACAATCTATCCCACATTGTTGGCCATCGATGAAAGATAGACTGAAAATGTTAACTATTTTATTACGCCCTTATTTTTCACGATTCATCCATCAGCCAGTGTCTGTTTTGTTCTTCTTGTTGTTTCATAACACATTTTTCTTTTTCAGATGCCATCCGTAACATTGAAGGATGTTGATCAACACAAGTTTGTCAAGGCATTCTCGGACTTCTTAAAAAAGTGAGTAGGCTATTGATGTTATTCTATTTAATTAGTTTTAAACTAGGCTTTTGTACTCAATAACCTCCCATTCATTATAAAACTTGTACGGTAGTAATTTTGTTTGGGTATGAACAGTTTTCTTTGATTTTTTTTTAAATTGTAGCCTATTAAGTTAATACAGTACTGTAAAATCTCTTTAATCCGAACTAATTGGGACCAGGGGTAGTTCGGACTATTGAATGGTTCGGATTACAGAACATATTGTTTTTTTTACATAACAATAGCTAAAGCATGGCTAAAATTGATCATAACTATTTTGGGAAAAGTGAAAAAATGTTTTATAAAGTTAAATACAGTATACAATAAACTTCTATTTCTAAACTTATCAAAAATCCTGGAGATAAACATTTTGAAAATGTATTACTATGCTTATATCTACTTCTATACTATACTATGCTATACTTCTATTACTATGCATATATCTATTCAAACTTAACATATGGAGTGATATTTTTGGGCAACTCACAGTCTTTTCCGGCAATATTTAAGATTCAGAAAAGCATTGTCCGTGCTATGACAAATTCCCCCCATACTGCATCAGCCAAACCAATTTTCAGGAAACTAGATATTCTGCCTTTACCTTGCATTTTCATTCTACATACCCTTCTATTTGTTAAAAAAAAATTTTCACAAATTCACTCTTTTAAAATCTACACATAACTATCCTACACGTAATTGTAATCTTTCTTTGCCGATACATCGAACAGCAGCTTTTGAAAAGACACCATTCTATACAGGCAGCCGATTATTTAATAAACTACCTTCTCATATTCGCAATAAATCTTCTGCCAAAGCATTTAAAAGAAAACTTGTTAACTATCTAAAGAGCCATATGTTTTATTCAGTAGAGGATTTCATGTTATCTAGTAACAGTGGTTTGTAAAATGCTTCATGTGGAGAGTTTGTTTTCTCATTATGTTTAAGTTACATTTTAATTTAGTTTTTAACATTTTGCATCATACTAGCTGTAACCCGCGGGTGTTGCCCCGTTTAACTTCTTAATTTTCAAGATGATCTCGTTCGCTACGCTCACTCACCTTTAGGTTGGAGCTCGTTCGCTGCGCTCACTTGCCTTCAGGTTAGCTTGTTCGCTACGATCACTTGCCTTCAGGTTAGCTCGTTCACTATGCTAACTCGCCTCCAGGTTGAAGTTCGTTCGCTATGCTCACTCACCTTTTGGTTGCAAATTAGCTGTTGTCATAATTGTAAAAGAAATAATAGTGCTGCACCCTGTTGGTAATCCTCGTAACTTTAATGCTATTGAACATCATAGAACAGAACCAACTTGTTTAATTGAAACAGCTGTTAAGATTCATTAATTCCATTTCCCATAGGCTAAGGTTAACATGGGAAACTCCAGAGCCACTGGGGCGGAGCCGATTGGACGGATCACGAAATTGATGGTGTATAAACCTATTCCATGAAATTCTACGTGTATGTACCAAGTTTCGTGGCAATCGGTTCAGCGGTGTCTGAGTTTATCACTGCCAAATATATATATATACAAACATCCTCTTTTATACTTAAATAGATTTTTGACATGTCATCTACCATTGAGGAAACTCCTCTGTATATGGTGTAATTTGTGACAATTTACATGAATAAATTAATAAATAAAGGAACTGCTGTACTGTGTATACTGTATAGAGTACAGCAATGAGGGGTTCGGATTAGTGGATGTTCGGATTACGGAGGTTCGGATTAAAGAGGTTCTACTGCATCAGTTATTAATTGTTCTTGGTCAGTATTATTTTTGTAAATCACTCAAAAAAGGGCTCCTTTGCTATGTTACATTCATTCAAGTTCTGTTGTAACAAGAAACTGACTGGAATCTTTGTGAATGGACTTTTGAACTGGACTCTTATCTATAGCTGCGGACAAGCCTACTGAGGCTTTTGTAGCTTTGTATGAAATGTATTTAGATTATTATGTTTTTTGTTGCATGAATAAATAAATAATAAATAAAATAAATAATAAAATAAATAACAATCCGGTTAAAAATTATGAAATAAAAAAAAATAGTGAAAAATAAATACATACTGAGGCTTTTGTAGCTTTGTATGAAATGTATTTTGATTATTATGTTTTTTGTTGCATGAATAAATAAATAATAAATAAAATAAATAATAAAATAAATAACAATCCGGTTAAAAATTATGAAATAAAAAAAAATAGTGAAAAATAAATATACTGTACCTAGCTGACCCACGACCCTTGTAAAGACCGACCCTAGGTCCTTGGTGGGGGGGGGGGGGTAAGCCCTAAAAGCCTCCCCTTACCAGTGTTAAAAAACTCTTATTTTTTATTGTGTGTGCCCTTTGTTCAACCAATTGTCTGTTGTTGTTCATTTGGTTTCCTACAGGGCATATAATAATATTCAAGGTTATCCATTGGAAATCTCGCTTGAGTTATTCCTTTCCAAACCTTGATACAGTTACACTTATGCTAGGCTTATTTATTACGAGTTAAGGTATATGATATTGTCACACATAGCCTACACGCTCTCCTCATACCTATGTAACTTAAGTAGCCTAGGTACTCATAATGATGCACTACAACACTATTTATTTACTTCCCAACAACATTTATACTTAGCCTCTTAACGGTAAAATTTCACATCGGTGTTAGCAAGAAATACCCCCGCCGCAGCAAACCAGCAGACTAAGCGAATTAGTTATATTAAAAATATTTCCATTTAAGACATATTTAAATAACATTAGATGCTTAGGTTTGCTGCTTTAAACACATCACAAATATTTTCTGGAGTTTCAAATTTAATTTTTATTGGTGTCAACGCCAGTGTTATGTTGTAGCAATTAAAAATTAACCCTTTGAATGCCGAGCGTCATTGGGATGGCCGAGATTGTGCAGAAATGCTAGCGCCTCAAAATGAGACGGTCAGAAAATCCATTTTTGTAGCATCATATTTCTATAAAACTGGCTAATAATCACACCAAAGGCGACAGAAGGAGGTCGGCAACAACTAATCGTAAGACAAATGTTTTAACCAAAATCCGAAACAACAACTCCTCAACCAATAGAAGTAGGCCCCTACACAGTTGTGCGAGTGTTGTACCGTTCCGTCTGTTTATGTTCCAATAAATGCTTGTTGTTTGCGATTTGTGTAATTGTTTTAGACACGCTAGTGTTCACTTTCACACCTAAGTTCAGACTTGCTAATGACAAGTTTTGTTCCAGGACTGGTAAGATGAAGGTGCCTGACTGGGTTGACATTGTGAAGAGCGGACGCTACAAGGAGCTGGCTCCCTACGACCAGGATTGGTACTACACCAGGTGTGCAGCCATCGTCAGACACATCTACTTCCGATCTCCCGTCGGAGTGGGAACCGTCACCAAGATGTTTGGAGGTACATTTTGTTAAGTAGTTTGTAATTCAGATTCCATCTAAACTCAAAATGTACATGATCTCTAATTTGTTAGTGGAATCTTTTTATCTTTTAGCTAGTGTATTTATTAATAGTATCAACATCAACAAGGTTTGGTAACATAGTATAGTACAATAATAATAACAACAGAAATTACCTATAGAACAGAATAGTATCAATCCAGAATAGGTGGTACTCAGGAACAATTAGAATCCTGTTATAGCAGAAGTCTTTTTTCTGATTTCGGTGTAACTTGTTCCTTAAATGGTATGGACTTAAATGGTATGGATACAATTAGATCTGACTATGCTTCTACTTGTCTTTAAGGTGCACAAGTCTCGATAAGAGTGACTTATTTCTGTGGTTATGTTTGAAATAATTCTTGCAGTTGTTGTTGTGTGTTTTTTGCATCAATAATTGAATTTGTTTTACTTATAGTAGGCCTACATAAAAAAAATTTTGGTTATCCTTTAATTTTGCAGGGGTTAGGTTAATTATTGAGGTATTTTTCTGTTTTGACATTCCCTGTTTAACTTATTTGCTTTTATGACTATTTGGAATTGTAAGTGGATGGAGATTGTATTAGTATGCCCATGTTAAAAGTTAAACCCTTTTCTTACAGGAAGGAAAAGGAACGGAGTTTGCCCCGCCCACTTCTGCCGCAGTGCTGGGGGAGTGGCCCGCAAGGCTCTACAGTCCCTGGAACAGATGAAGCTGATAGAGAAGAGCCCTGACGGTGGCCGCAAGCTCACTGTACAAGGTACATTTCTAAATATCCTCTTGTTTATTATCCTCTTATTATTGTTATTCCTTCCCGGACGGGTGACAGATATATCCGCCTAAGTATTTGGCGATAAAGGACGGGTGGCGGATATATCCGCTTATGGTTTTTGATGTTCCGGACAGGAAGCGGATATATCCGCCTTCTCTTCAGACAGACTGGCAGGTGCTTAAGAACAGTAACCAGACGTTTCACGGTACCAAGGCGCCACTTTCCTGCTCATTCCATGGCTGCGCTCTCTCCCGCACTCCCCCCTCCCTCCTGTGCCTATCTCTTTCCCGTGTCACCCCCTCTCCCACACACTATCAAACCTCTCCTACGCTGCCCCCTCGAGGTTTTGCGCTCAACACCACGTTATCTTTATTTATTGTTTACATATTGTTCTTTATTTATTGCCTAATGTTGTCATGGTCATATCTTCAAAGACGGGTGCGGATATATCCAGTGCTTTTCTACTCATTCGAGGACGGGTGGCGGGTATATCCGCATACCGGTAATTAAAAACAAGTAAAAAATTATTTTAACAGTATTGAAGGGTTCTATTGTGTTTATTTTATGTAGGCCTATAATACTTGTATTTAAAAAAAAAAAAAAAAAAAAAATTAATTTTTTTCCCTTTAATTTTTTCCCGTTCTATGTCACGATTTCGAACGTCCGGGAAGGGTTAAGTCTTAACCAAACAATTACGTATCAAATACCAGAATCCACCTGCTGGTACGTAGAGTGACCTTCAGATACGAAGGCAAGACCACTGACTGGACAATTAATTTGTTCAAAATATATTGTTGATATTTAATTTGAGATTTAAATACACTGTTTATATGTTCTTATGTAGGGATGGTTTGATTCTGAATTTGATCGCCTACCTCAAATTTGTTGATTATCAGAGCTCACAAAATAATCAAACTATCTACTGTTTTGTTTTCTCAAAACTGATTCTTTCTCAAATTATTATTCGAAAATCAGCCTGTTGCATTTATTTCCTACATTTTTTTTAGATTTAGGCTGATAAAAAAAAGTATTGATCTAATAAAGATTATTCATTCACTCTTTCTCAAAGTCCTAGAACAGCCCAAGCGTTGCAACCCACTGTAACATCACGATCACCTTAGGTAGTAAGGCACAGGGTTCTAGACATTAAATTAAGTAAATCTGTCATAAAATAAAATTGGTATCAATTTGCATAGTTTTTTTTTATCAGTAAATTTTAGAGTTGATTCTGGAATTGACTGGAATTCAGTTGAAAATAATAGTAGCCTACAGTACCAGCCTAAGTGCTAAACTTAATGTGCTTTGCAGGAAGGCGAGACCTGGACCGCATTGCTGCACAAGTGCGTCAGAAGAAGAAGCAACAACAGCTGTTGTTGGCCCAACAGGCCGGCATCACTGTGACGGCACCAACGGCACCTCCAGCAGCGGCACCTGCTGCCGAGCAGCCTGCTACTGAAGGCAGCTGGTCATAGACAGTCAGGGGCTTTTAATAAAATTGTTATAAAATTAAATGACTTTTTACGTATTCCTTGGTGTTTGTTGTCATAGCCTAATAATGAAATCTTATTCATAGAATCATATAATTGGCGAAGTGTTGAATTGCAAGGCTTGAGATAAAACCATCTAGTCACCTAGTCAAAGTTGATTTACTAGAAATTTCATGGAAATAGTAATTGTGTTAAAAACAAAACTCAATCAACCTTGTTTTGATTTGTTTCTTTTTAAAACCTTTTTTACTGTAGTTTTTTGTAATAATATGTTGTTTTCTTTTGTGTCAGTACACAGACATTTTCTGCAATACTGTCGTGAATAAAATTCATCTAATCCATAACTTTCAAATTTTAATTGCACACACTCTCTTAAGTTCTTAGGATGTCATACCCAACAAAGCAATTGAAAGTAAAAAATCAACTACACAATAGCAGTTTATCCTGAACTTCTAAAGTATTTTTTTGTTTTGGTTTCCGGTTTTTTTGTGACTCTTGATAACAGTACTGGAAAAACACAAACACTGACTAATGGAAGTGATAAGAGATTTGGACTTGATTTTCCTATTTTTTAATGAGTTGTCTGTAGAGTTAGGCCATGTTAGGCTTTTACAGCAGGGTACTCAATGGCCTTGTAGCAAAAAAAATTTAATTTTACTTCAAATAAATCAAAACGTCATACTGACAACTTAGATTTTTTGCAGCTAATAATTTCTGTCTTAACACTGTAGCACAAAATTATGTTAAGTACCACAAATGGGTCCTACCGTTGACTATAGACAATTATTATTATTGAAGAAATTGCCATTTAAAAATAAAACAGAAATACATTTTAGGACATTACTATTGTAATAAATTGTTATCAATTATTAATTAAATTTATAAAATTTATTCAACTAAATTGGTAGGATTGGAACTGATACTGGGGCCCATTTCATAATAAAGTACAAACTAATATTATTAGTAAATCAGCTGATCGCCCAATGCAAATCTAATGGAAATTACAAGTTACAAGTTGTAACTTGTAACTTGTAGTTTATTATGAAATGGGCCCTAGATGGATAAAAAAATACAGCTAGCAAATAAATATTCCAAATGAGAGCAAAACAAAACACGACTATGAAGTACTAAGTTCATTCAATTAATATACCTAACCTGAAAGAAGAAATATTACAAATTTTATTAGACTGTTTATGTAGCCTACTTTCAGCAGAACAATAATATGTATACAATGAAAATCCGCAGTAAAAAATATAAGGTTCCATTGGCTCTCGGTAATCCCTATTAGAGTGAAAGTGATAAAACAGAATATATTCAGGGAAACTTGTTTAGTCCAGTAGGTAATGAGTACATCCTGCAGGAAGAGGAAAACCATTGTTGTGACTGATTATCATAACTGATCAATCACAATCAGTGAGCTCCATGTGTGTGATGTGGAATGGCGGCTCACTGGCTGTTGCTTATCTGTCTGGTGAAATCCATTCACTGCTTGAATGATGGTAAGAGAATTTAGTGTGATGCAACCGTGGATTGGGATTCGTTTTTGTTTAAGATATTGAGGAGGATATGAGATGGGCTTGAGTGGGATTTTCATTAAATATTTCCATTTCATGACGTTCACTGTTGCTACGCGTGTATCCTAGTTTCCCTAGGGAAAACTCTCCTAGGCACATTACAATTGTTAGAGGCTTCAATAAATGTTAAAAAATAACGTCCTCTAATTCTCGGTTTTGCTCAACGCAAATATGCCAACTTTGAGTTTGTGGGAACTTTCCAATCCTGGGATTTGTCTAAGCCAATCCTGGGATTAAATTATTTTATAATTTCAACTTTTTAGCCATTTTAAATGGGCATGGAGTCTCCCTGTTGAGTCCCCTAATCTTATAAACTGGCAGTGTTGTACTGACAATTTTATCGTCTTTCTAAGTAAAAGATATTATCACAAAGACTTTTTATCGCCCGTCTTTCTTATATACAGTGTATAAATGTTGATGTGTCATTCATGAATTTGACAAATACAAAAGAAAATACGAGCAACCTTACTTGCATTTAAACCGTCAAGCTTCACTCAACACTAAATTTGTTAAGTTGCACTGATACTTTTGATCACTGGGGAAACTATTGGGCTATTATGGAACCTAATATGGAAATAACTTGCTCTGGACTAAATATGGCGCTAAGTTAAGAACTAAAGGTTCTTACACTCGCTCATCAACGCAAATATTTTTTTTCAGTTCAATAAACAAAAAATACAAGGATAAAAAGATAACGTAAGAAGAATCAGCGGTTGCAGCTGTACGGTATAGATTTTATGTAGATATAGCCATAAAACAATTTAAGGTACAAAGAACAAATCATTTTCTTATGTAGTGATGTGTGTACGTAACACAGCTTAGGATTGAAAAATATTTAATCAGCGCACAAGCATAAAACAAAATAAACATACAGAATTATAGACCTTAAACATAAGCAACATTAATGATACAATTTGTATGTTTAGGCCTTATATGATATTAATACAATAATGTTGGCGTTTATATTATGGCAAAGTTATATTTGCCGTATCAATTGTGTCTCATGTCAAAAGTAAAACTCAAAATAAGTTGTCAATCAGCGTACATCCCGGGATTGAGACTCCTACTATACCATTGTAGATTCCATAGTACTTATTCAAGTTGATTGGCTTTGCAAGAGCAAATTACTAAGCTACCTATGTTCATTCACATAATAAGCGTACAACTGAGATTGTCTAATGCACAGAGATAAAATAATTTGTGGACTAAAATTGTATATCAACTTCCACCATCTTCAGACATATCAGAGGCTACTGACATGCTGTTAATGGAAGGAGAGATATCTCGAATTGTATCTCCTGACGACAAACATCAGAGTGCAGCCTACTCAGAGTCAGGTGTCGGACAAGATCAAACATGTGCGACTGGGGCCAAGTGTACATCCTTGCAGAGCTGTAGACTGGTCCGAACACTGATGAACAAGAATTGTCTTGCTAGTAACAAGTAAGTGTATTTCTACAACAAAAACTGTCAACCATGGGTGCCCACAGGAATTTTCTTGAGTAGGTGAAGAAGTATCTTATTCCAAGCGCCCTCCACCACAAACAAGTCAATGTAAAACGCTGTAAAACATGATTGTTGGCTTTCTGAAATGTATAATTTTCTTTTTGATGCTACAACTGTTTAAAATCTTACAGAGCATAGTGGATTTTCAGTTGATTTTTTTCTCAGGACCATGGCCCGCATTTAAATAATTTGAGCTATTTAACTCAAATTATTTCTCATTAATCTACGCTCTGAAGAACTTCTATATTGCGATAAAATATCAGGGCTATGTTATGTGACTTTATTGTGTCTTAGCCCATACAGAGGCTATAATTTATTTAAGTACACTAGCTGAAACATATATCTATCTCTTTCTAAAAAATCCTTCCAATTAATTGTTTCATAAATTAGAAACTTCTCTCATCTTGCTATACAATATTCTTGCTATACAATATTCTTCCTTACCTAGGCTCCGAGAGCTTACCTGTGGCTACTTGGGTGACGAACCTCTCGTCTGCTGTCCTGTCTCTGCCATCAAACACGACCCTGAGCCTGTCAATGGTGAAGCCTGCGGAGCTCCTCTCCTCTACAACTGGTGGAAAAACAACTACCAGGGAGTTGGGGCTTTACCATTTGTCGCTAGGATCGGGTTTAGGAGTAAGTCTACAGATTGAACCCGGATGTACACCACATTGTGATGTACATTGTTTAATTAGGAGTAAGTCTTTAGATAATACTACCCAACTATTTACTGAGCGTGTTTTAAAAGCTGTATTTAGATTAGCCACTTGTAGTGTTTGCTATAGTTTAAAATATTCTTTGTTCTCGCTATCTTTTGTTAATGACTACTATGATAATTCTAGAATCGTGGTCTTCTGGTAACGACTGTTACCAAAATCTACGAATCAATAAACTCTCACACTCTGATGTTTCGGCCTCAATATAGAGCGCCATCCTCAGGGCGACTTGACTCCGCACAGTTACAAATCAAGCCCCCTGAGGATGGTGCTTTATATCGAAGCCGAAATAAGAGTGAGAGTAGTGATCCATTGATTTTGACACGGTCGTTAGCAGAGAAGACCACGATTCTAGAATAAGTGATCCTGGAAGCCTATCCAGGAAGATTATTCTGTTAATTTTTGATAAGACATAAAATAACGGCTTGGTTAAAAAGTTTGTATTTACAGAAGCTGCAATTTTGAATTGATTTGTGTTCTAAGTATTAAAACAGATAGTAGGTATGAAAAGTACATTAAGACTAGCATCTTCAGGTTAATTGCAATGATGTTTTATTTCAGGTAAAACCCAAGGTACAACATCCTACCCTTGCTGTGGTTCCATAATATCTAAGCGAGTAATCTTAACATCGGCTCACTGTGCACTGGCCCAGACTGCAAAACAGTATGTGTAAGTATTTAAATATTTTTCTGAATATACATAAGTAAAATTAGAAAATATGGATTGTAGGATAAACTTTATCCAAATAGACTGTATGAGCTTATAATGACATGAAGTGCCATGGACTTTCTTCCCCTTAAAAGGTTTGCAGATTTACAAGGATGCAGAATGCAGATGAATATTGTATTGTGGCTATATAAAAACTGCCTACCTACAGTGTACGTACCTTTTTGTTCTAAGGTGGACAGTGAGAGTTGGAGAGTATGACATGGCCAAGGACCCAGATTGTGGTAAATCCTTCTGTGCTCATCCTGTACAAGACATCCTCATCAGCCACGTGGTGGTACATCCTGGATATGAGCCAAAGTCCTTCAGACACAACATCGCACTACTGGTCCTCAGACACAACATTAACTTTTCTGGTTAGTTATCTGCGATTCTTATTTGTTTTTGCGTATTTTTTGTGCTATTTGCATCATTTAAAGTTTTTTGTATGGAAATTGTCCAAACTTCATCTAATGTTGACCTTTCAGTAATTGGTAGACAAATGACAGAATTTGAGTACAGATCCAGACCATGTTTTTTAGCAAACCAGCTACTGGTACCTACAGTTGGTGGGGTTTTTCATATTAGTTAAATATGAAAAAAATATTTTGTTAAGTACAGTTAAGTAATTTTATAGACTAACCAACACAAGTAGACTTCTCATTCCATTGTAAATTTTGAAGCTTCTTTTTCGTGTCTAGTTCATGTTTGGTGACTCTGATTGCTAGTGTTGACAAAATTTTGTTTCTATTATTTTAGGGTTATTTTCATGGTTTGAGATGCGATTTATTGTTTGGTTATACAATTAGGAGACGAGTTATTGTTTATGATTAGATTGTTTTATTTGGTTAAACAAGATTTTAAATAACTAAAATAAGAAGAAACAATTTGTAAATAAAACACGACCTCTACAGTGTACCGGAGAGAACTAACAATAAAATTGGCTTCAGCTGATCCATTAGAATGAGAAATATACTAAGGGAGTATGTTTTATCATAGACAAATAGAATAAATATAGACCAGCAATAGTGCTGTGGTTAGCATATGTTCCGGCGCCCACTGCTAGGAGTACCTTGTAGTTACGGCGCCTGCTGGTAGCATACAATACAATATTCATTATTGTTCATTCGTTAAGAATTAAGCGCATATGGCTCCTGCGCTCCTCGCCTGCAGCGGTATGCGCCTTAACTACACGGTACTCCTAGCCGTGGGTACTGGAACCTTTCTTAGACAGTCTATATTTATTCTATTTGTCTAAGGTTTTATCTATGGTTCTACTTCAAAATGTATTTTTATACATACATAATTTTATTTCTGTAATTACCTTACTGTACTTAATAAAATATTTTGTTATGTTTAACTAACCATATGATTGTTAGATTTTGACATAAACATAACCTTCAGGTTTTGTGATGTGTCTGATGATGCCAGCATAACTGGCGAAAGGCCTCATGAAAATAAAAACTCAAAAATATTGGTGAAGTTTATATTTAAAATTTGAATGAAACCCAATATTACCAGTTCTTGATAATATTAGTTTTTTTTAGTGAATGCTCAGCCAGTGTGTTTAAGGAACAGCCCATATTCTCTAGTTGGACAACGGGCCAAGTTGGTTGGTTGGGGAAAAACTCCTGGACAATTGGGTAAGTTTGTATTTTTTATAGACTTTAAATGTGATATATTTTACTTACAATAGCAATGATCTTGGTTTCCTGATAACGAAGAATGATCCATTCTTGTTTGACGGTGTGATTATGACACAAGTGTATTCGAAACTTGGTGACAAATGCGTTACCTGAAGGATTGTTGATTTTCAGGTACGTACGTAAACCTCTAATTACTATTTAAAAGATACATACACATTGTCCTCTATTCCAGTTATTCCCAAGTCTTAACATCGAGAAAGTCTCTCAATCTTCTCCTATTCCTACATAGTTCCTCTTTCTCCCATCTGCCATCTCACTTCTCTCTTTACCTGATTCATCTACCTCTTTCTAGGTCTCTTTGCCTTTATCATCATCCATTCCATTTTTCTTGAAATTTTCTTTTACATGTCACAACCATAATCTTGTTTTTCCTTCTCCTTTGATTTCTTCTAATATCTTTATTCCTAACTCTATCCCACCTTCCTTTTCCCAATTGCTAAAAATCATATTTCTCCCTCTATTTTAATATTAAGCAATCTGAACTTTCAGAAACTCCCGATGAACAGCAGACTGTGGAGATGCCGATTTTACAAAGGAAAAAGTGCACCGATGTTTATGATGACGTGATTCCTGTCACTCAAGATCATCTTTGTGTTGGAGGCGAGAAGAACAAGGATGCTTGTTCAGGGTTTGGAGGTGCTCCTCTTGTGTACCTAGATAGAACTGACCAGCCTAAGTATTATCAGGTAAGAAACCAGAAATATTCCGTCCAAAAACCTTTATGATAAATTTTAACAACAACAGTTGCAAATAATGCATTAGCTTCATCAGCTGTTGCATTATTTGCAACTGTTGTTGTCTGCACCCCAAAATCCCATAACGGTTACTTTCCGTGCACCACAAATGCACAGAAAGTTAATGTTATGTAATTTTGCCGTGCAGTAGCGGGAATAACCTATTTTCATAGCTCATTTTACGTTTAGAAAGTGTGCTATCATGTGTAGAGTAATGAAAAATAAATGTTTGAACATTTGTAGAAAGATGTTAGCGGAATGTCAATGCCACTGTTTCAGGTGGGGATTGTCTCTTTCGGTTCAGATAAATGTGGAGTACAAGGGATCCCAAGTGTGTACTCTAGTATAGACAAATATCTGGACTGGATCAAACTCAACTCTCCTGATCTGTAATGTTCAGAATATTTACAATATTAGGCGTTAATAAACTTGTATTTTACCATACAATGGTGTTAATTTCCCCCGTTTCCAGTTGAAAATGAGTACAGTAGTCGCAGCTAGTCTGGGCGCGCGGTCCCTTGTGTACTAACCGTTCCCCACGCCAAAGCCATGAAGACTGCGCTGAGGCGCTGAACACCCCCAGAGAGCCTTGTGGGCCAGATGTTTTTGGAAATGAGCAATAAACACTCCCCTCTACACCCCCCGCCATAGCACGGCCGCGCGCCCAGACTAGCTGCGACTACTGTATGCTGGTAGAGAAATTATTGTTGACATTTTATCTGAACAGTATTGTTTATTCTGGTTTACACTTGATTGTGATTAAATTCCTATAAGTCTTTCCAGGATAAAAAAAAAAATGCAGAAGATGGTTTATATGTTTAATAATAAAAGTACTTAAATAGAATTGACTAACTAAAATATTTACAAGTGAAGGTACAATTTAGTAGTGATGAAATATGATACACCCATTTTTATTACTGTGGTAATGATTTGTATTTGTAATTTTAAAAATGATCATAAATGATTAAAATTAACACCTCCCACTTTACCTGCATGTGCCTATTATGATATATTTTCAAATAAAAATATGGGTTAATTAATTTCAAATGTCTTTTATATTCTTTAAGTTTAAAAACTGAAAAATTCAATATTATAATATGATACTTAGAAACGGAAATGTAATCTTAGTAATTTCTCCATAATCCCAAACATTGAAACATTTGTTTACAAAATGTCGAGACAAATTGGTTTAATTCCTACAGCAAAAACCTGTAAAATACTTTCCTCCTTCTTGAGAGCAATATTTAAAAAAAACATTTTTTCAGCAAACAAAAATTAGTAAATATAATAATAAATATTCACATCAGAGAGTGCTGCAGACTTCTTCGATATGTATACAGTATAAAGTTTACCATCTCATTAAAGTAACATCTAAGATTCAGGAGAAGACTTTTTCATCTTATTAAATAAGATAGCATGAAAATGTAGTGTGTTTTGGGACTCAATGACAAATCTTCCTTAAACAAACTATATAAATTCCTAAATAAATATGGTAAAAATGTTTCACTAATGATGTGATTTTTCAAGTAAAATTACTCTTAAAGCTTTCACAACAAGAATCATGTGTCCTACGATCAAAAACAAAACTTTTTGGTTCTATCAACATGAGTTAAGTAAGTCCATCCATTTTTGTTTTTACCTCAGTATAAAGCTCATTGATAAAACACACTTCGCCCTAACACTTTTACCCTCTTACAAATTAACGTTAAAATACAGTATCATCACAGCCTTTGGGGTCGATAGTCTAAAACTTATAACTGGTCTAAACTTAAAATTATCACTGTACGTACACTAATGCAATATCTAGTTTGGGGACGTCTAGTGTTGTACACCCCTAATGGTAACCTAGATCTCTCTCTGTTGATTCTATCCTGAGTAGTCTATTGCGATCTCGTCACTATATCTGGTAAGGCAATAAAGAAGCGAGGACCCGAAGAGAATTCCGATGTTTTGAAGTACGAAAGTCAACAATGCCTGACACTGGCCTTGAGCTAGACTTTCCTTCAACATGTCTTGCAGCTCTGGGATCTGTGGATAAAGAAAAAAAGGATTATTGACAAAATAACTTGATATTTATTGTAAACATTTATTAAAAGCTAACAGAACAATGTAGCCAACAGATAATCCAGACATTTCTGGTATGAGATATTTTTGCCGCAATACCTTATTGTAGTCACCACTCTAGCTTGCCTATGAGACGTATCCTGGTTAATTTAAATTATGTGAATACCAGCTTTGGTATCACATTGCCTTGGATTGCATTCAGTAACTAGAATTGAAATGAAATAAAAATACTTCTTTTTTGAGGCGAACTTAGGACGTCATGGTCCTTTCTTACAGTTAACCTATATTGGGTCTGAGTTGAAGCCATCTTCAGGTTCATTGACATCGCTCTGCCCAAGAATGTCAGATTTAAAAACGAGATAGTAAGCTGAGACACATTAAAATCTAGGTATAGCCTGTGAAGATGCTTCCAAGATTTGGGACAAAAATAGTTGCTGAATGCATTTTATGAACTATATTTTCAATATTTATTGGTATTCCAAAGACCAATATGAAACACATTTTAAATTTGCTTCATGATTGGTCCTAAAGACGCTTCCAATATTCAACGGTCAAAAATATATCTCACCAAATGTGTCAGGGAAACGTAGAGGAAAAGTCCGCCAGCAAAAGCAAAAATGTAAGTAGAGCCTTCCAACTCTCCCAATACGATGCCGAGAGCCAGACCTATGAAGGAGGTACAAGCAGAGAGGAAGTTGTATAGTAGAGCCTTCTGGAGTGACATTCCTGACTGGATAAGGATGGCAAAGTCACCTGAAGACAAAATGCACAGTTAGAAATACATCTGCTGATTACTGCTACTTTAGACTTGACAAAGGGAATAATCATTAAATTTCAGGTTATCTAAATGAAAAAAATTGTTCAAACCCCTGTAGGTTATTGATTAGCTTTAAACAGAGGGAATTTTTTCATGCCAAGCGTATCTTGTTTTCTAGACACCCTCAAAGTCAAGTGATAAAGAGGACTTGCAAGTCCTAACTACGCCTTTAAAATAAAATCATTTTTAATTTGATTACCCTTGGATGATGTGGATTGTACCGTGTTTCTGAAAGACTTTGTTAGATGTATTTTATGTTATAGTTAGTTTTTACAAGAAATAAAAAAGAAAATAGGTAGTGACTAAAAAATCACTGTGGTGGTGTTCCATGAAGTTTAATAGTTGCAAACACACCATAAATGGCTTTTGTAGCAAGCCTGTAATTTTGTGCATTTTTATTTTTTTTTTTATTATTAAATGAGGATGAGATGTAATCTGAACAACGGTTTCCAGGTCAGAAATTCCTTGCTCTACCTACTAGATGAATTGTAACAAACACTAACAAATTCATTTTTAAACTAAGATTTTTCAGATAAGTGAACAAAGATATAGTATTGTGTAATGCTTGATAACATACATAACTTTTTTAATAACTTAACAAAAGTACAAAAAAGAGTAAATTACAAGAAGAAATAAATTTTGTCCCAAATTTACACCAATAACTTACCAAGTTCATGGGGAAACTCCTCGCAAGCAATTCCGATGCTGATGCTGATTCCGGTACCAATACTTTGAGTGAAGCCAGCTCCGATACTCATACCGTCGATGAAATTGTGAAGTCCGTCACCAAATATGATTATCCAAGCAACTGTAGCTACTTTCTGGCTCGTCTCAGTCATGGTCATCGATGCTCTCTGTGAAATAAAGTCCCTAATTCATTTGGATCTCTAGATAATGTCGTCATAAATGTAAAAATATGTTTATTAATCATGGAAAATATAATGGCATAACTCGGTAAAAAATTCATATATTGTTGTTTCTTAGGATCATTTTTTTATGTTAATTTATCGACAATTGAAGAAATGTTTATACAAAAATTAACCCGATTTCTTGTGGGTGGTCTTCTATTCCTAATTCTCATGTTAAATTTCTGCCACTGCTAGTTTAGAGTCCTATGGAGGCTAGCGACCATCTTGGATAATTTAAACCAACTGATGAATTTATCGTCCAAAAAGATTTTTTCAAACAACAAAGTTATTATAATGTAAGTATCTAGTAAACTGTGATATAACAAATGTTCTTTGTAGTTTTTAATTGTTTCCCAAGGGAGTCCATGGAAGCTAACTACCATCTTGGATTTGCCCGCCATAAGAGCAATGTTAATTTTGTTAATTTCAAACAGGCACTGAAGAGTTATTTACCTTTTCAACATATTTTTTCAAACACCAGAGTGATTGTAATTTAAAAATTTAGTATAACTTACTGTTAGATTATAAATATTTTTTGTAGTTTTTTTAGTTGCTTTACGAGTTAGAACGTCTAGTCTCACCAAGGACTATTAATCTTCCTCACACTAGACTAAAAAGTTAAAATTTTTACAAAGAATTCGCTAATATGAAAACCTATTTTTAAGAATTCATTCTCAATTTTAGGAAATTCATTGAAATTATATATCATAGTATTAGTAAGCTTCAACAATGTTTTACATTTTTAATGATATAATCTGTAACTTATTTTAATGTTCTTGTGTTTTCTGCTAAATGGGATAATTTATTTTTAGTTAATATTTTAGTTCATTTCCTATGTGAGATTTAGATTACCTTTAAAGCCAGGAAGCTCTTAACAGAAACAATCAATTACGATAACAATTTAATTAGTTTATTATCTAAATTAACAGAATAATTGATAATGAAATGCCACTGACTGATTACATTAATCTAAGATGTTCGACTTAACAAAGTACACACCACTTAATTGCTTGGAATCCTTTGTTTTCACAGTACATTGGATTTTAATTCTGAAATACTTAATAATCATATTGATTGTCGCAGTTGGTTTTTAGCGAATTTCCCTACAGGGAAGTAGCTATTACCATAGGTAAGACCTAGAGCCGGGACCCATATACTTCATTTTCATTTTGATGTCCCTTAAGGGGCCACTCTATTTTTGTTAAAATGTTTATAAATGTATAGATTTTTATACAAATGTGCACGCAATAACTTGAGTAATTTTTGTCAGATTTTGATGAAATTTGGCTTGAAGATGGAGGGCGGGATAAACTTAAGTGAGTTCGCTAACCAGCATGATCAGGACCTTGGGAACCGGATTCTATGGGGTAAAAATTGGTTTTTCTCATTTTTGACCCCCAAAACAAAAAATTTCCCAATTTATCTTTAAACCCTTTTAAAGACCTTAAAAAAATAATTTAATTGAGTGAAGCTCACTTTCCCTCACTTTGTAACTTCTTTGTAAGAGCATCAGAATGTAATAGCTTGACCAATTGATATGAAATTTGGCCAACAGCTAAAGAATACTGAGCACAATGTTTATGGTAAAAAATATTAGTAAATTTCCTTCTGGATTTTATCTTACGGGTCACACAATTTTGCTTGTTATTTTAATGTAAGTTGAAAGAAAAATTATATTGGGTTTATGACATATGGGTTTATCTCGTATCATTTATATAAGATAAACATACAGGGTGGTAATAAAGTTTGAAGACAGTTAAATATTTTCTAAACGACAACAGATAAATCAATAAGATTTGGTACATCAACACCACACCTAAAAACCTACTTTTTTTAAATATAAATTTTCTGTCATATCATGGGGACGTCCATGCAAGGAGTCAGAAGGAAATCTTAAATAGAAGCATAGGTTGACATGTACATCAAATTAAAGGTCTTTACTAGCAGAATATAAAGCTGCAAATTTGAACTCAAACTGACAACCGAGCCAAGAATGACAGTTGTTCAAAGGTTCATTTAATTTGCATTGCTATTATACGCTTACTCCTCAGGGGGCACAGCCCTAGGAATCGGAAGAAAATTGTTAACGTAAGCATAGGTCGATATGCACATCAAATTAAAGGTCTTCACTAGTAGATTACGATGCCGTAAATTAGAGCTCAAAAGAATGCCTGAGTAAAAAATGGCAGTCGTTCAAAGATTCAAAATGGCGGATTCAAGAAATCTTTGAACATCTGCCATTTTGCGCAGGATCAACCTTTTGAAGTGCGGTTTGCGACATTGTATTCTACTGAAAAAGACCTTTCATTTGATGTGCATATTGACCGATGCTTCGATTTAAGATTTTCTTCCGACTCCTTGTGGGCCGTCCCCTTGAAGAGTTATTGGATCACTGAATATGCGTAAAAATAAAGTTTTATGCTCTGTAACTTTGTACCAAAAGTATTGTAGCTCTATCTACATTATTTTTTAAAACATTTAACTGTCTTCGGACTTAATTACCACCCTGTATGTTAATTGTTTGTAACTGTTTTGTTTACATTTCAATGTTTACTTTCATCCTAGGTTAAAGTTGGAATGTAACAGTTTATCAATGGAAGTAACAGTTTTGCTATATTTGTTTTGAGCATGCCTCAAAGGCCACATCGTAATATTGGTCGTCACACCAATAATGCAAATATTGTAAGAGAGTGGCGTCGTGAACAAGAAGAACCAGATGAAGCAGTGGCGGAAGAAGCTGATAATGATAGGCAGTTAGCTAATCAATTCCAATAAGAATTAGATGCACTAAAATTTTACACTCGCACTAACTATCATCGCCAACAACTAACAGCTTCAAACCAATCACCGATTTGTTAGCGTTGTCGTTCAAATGCAACTAAATTCACAGCGTTAAATAATATGGATGTGTCAAGTGTCCCGAACGAATTAACTGACCTGACGATTGTAGAACAAATGTTGATTGCACGAGTACATCCCGCTATGCGCATTTACAAAGTTCAAGCAAATGGTCAGGATGGCTAGTTTCACTACAAAGGTAACATCATTAATGTTGAGCAAGATATTAATGAAATAGCATCTGTCTTACCTACACTGCCACTGCCCGAAAACTTAAAAGTCATCATTGTCCAACGTCAAGGCGTCTTTGGCCATATCGATTAAATACACATGTCTAACAAATGGTGAATCTGTTGAAAGGGAACATGTTGTAGGTTGTTAGCTGCTTTAGCCATTACTTACTTACTTACTCCTGTGGCCATTTGAACCCTAGAACGGTTTTAGCCTCTCCAACTAGCCGCCTCCATTCTTCTCTGTTGTGCGCCATCCCCAAATCTCCTCCTATCTTCACCAAATCACCCTTAACTTGGTCGTTCCAGCGCATTCTTGGTCTTCCCAAGACCAGGCTTTAGCCATTGACAATCTTTAAATAATGCTTCGCTCATTTATGCTTCTAAAGTGTAATGACAGACCACCCTAGTATATTAAAGTGTTTTTTACGGTTATTGGTTACAGAAAAAATGGTAAACTTAAAATTCCTTATAAATATTAAAATTGTTTAAATGTTATACTTATGGGAACAAGTAATCTAGTAAACCGTTGTAGTTGCCTTTCTTAGTATATATTTGGATCAAACATGGCAAATTTATTTTATACTAAGCTATTAATATTTGGCTAAACACATACGTATTACACTCCCTTTAGCAGCAAACCTAAGAACGTTAAGCCAGCTATTATTCAAATAGATTTAATTGAAAATCCAATCATAGGCAAATGGAAATTCACATTTCTGCAGCTACAGTGGATGTATTTTTAAATAAGTATGGTGAAAACGATTTAGTATTTTAAAGTGAATTGATAGATTTAACCAATTTAAATCAACTAAAATTTGAGTGAAATTCTATGTTCCAAGCACAGTCATAAGCAAGTACAGTTAAAGGTACCTTGGTCCCAGTGGATGGGCTAAGTAGTCCATTGAGTTCAAACTCCTTGATGCCCATGGATCCGCAGTTTCCATTGGTGTTTGTGGCACCTGGATTCTTACGCTGAAAATGCAACATTCTGTTAATTATTCCCTGTCGGCCACACAACGATTTTGATAGTTTTATTAATCTCGATTAATTTTATTCTATCAAACAGTTTAAATAAACCAAAGTAATGTTATAACCTAAACTCTGTTTTCTGTAGTAGATTTTAAAATCCACATTATTTCCTGTTGTAACTTTGAAAGCAAGGGTAAAAAAACTAGTTTAAAATGCAACAAGTGACCTATTAAGTATTTTTGTTAAGTCATACAAAAATATTTAGAACTTGCTTATTGAATGAGTTGAATTATGTTTTATGATGTCAGTATTTTATAGTGCTTGTTTATAACATAGCAAATTAACGTGCCTTACCTTTTTCCTCCCAAACAAGATTTTGGTGAGAGCTTCAACTGAGAACAACACCCAGAAGCTGAACCAAGTGTACATTGCAACCTTTAAGTACTCGTGGTCTGGGTCGTGTTCTTTTAAACTGAAACCCTGTGATAAAAACATGTTGTTAAATTTTAATAAAATCAAACCATTTATTGAGACAGAATTAACAATGCAGTTTGCATTACCTAGGTCGCAAAATATGTATGTTATTAGCCATAGCTTAATCTATGTTGTGATAAATGACATCAATCTATCTAAACAACGTTAAACATTGGTATAGGGATGATTAATTTATGAATTAACAATTAATAGAAAGAAAGAATGAACTGAACAAAATTAAAGTCCAAAGTGTCAAAGCAAGTGTTAAAGCCAGTCAGCAATGTTTTATCTTTAGGACAAAAATCTAACGTTCACATTTTGTTCACTATCAGAAATTTAAATTCAAAAACTATGGTTGTATTAAATTTGAAAATATTTAAGCTACAGCTAAAAAAATAAGTACTTAAGTTTAAAAAAATGTTTTCAATTGAAGAGGAGAAACATTTCTCTGAAAATATAAGATCAGAATCTTGGAGGTTCATTCAGATGGCCTGTACCTAACAAAAAGTTTATGAAGTTGTGTCACTACTCGATAATCAAGCTTTTGATAATTTTATCTAGTAAACTTTAGGACAATAATAAGTGTTCAAAGTTATAACATGTAAACTCAACTTTTTTCAGGGATTTGTTTGATTGTAGCAAGATGATATATTTTGAAAGGCTACTGAACTAGCTTTTACATTTTATTAAAGTATATTTCAATGCATATTTATATGAGGAATATGCTAATCTTAGATGACTTTTCAAAAAAACACACCTTTGATTTACGGATGTGCTGCTTTACTCAACAACAGGTTTTTACTACAATCAGTACAATAGGAAAAGCTATCAGCTGATGATGACTTCAGTCCATCCATCATGTTTATGACATTAATTATTGGAAATAGATGATTTACTCTACCCATTATCCAGGTAATTTATTTTCAAAATTATGACATACTTGACCTTTACCCACCAACAGTAAGTTTATGCTTCGGTTCAATTTTATCACTCCTCAACCATATGGATTATCTCACCATCAACATCTTAGGACAATTAGTGTTAATAGTAACTCCATGACTACCCAGACTATTCAATTTTTAGTAAAAATAACTACCTCTGGAATGAGCTGAAAGATGGCGGTGGAAGACAGTGATCCGACGGCCAGACCAATCAGAACTCTCATGACATGTGGGTAGAAGGGACTGTTGAAGATGGGCCACAGAACAGCTCCAAACACACCAGACAGACTGATCAACCCCACGGATAAACTGCCAAACATCCACACTGGAACATACGAGATCATCGAACATAAGTGGAGTTGTTGCAATGCAACCAATACTGTCATTATCATTACTTAGAAGACAGTCTGCGGAGTTTTTTAGCGGGTAGTTTATGGATATCCAATCCATAGGATTGGATGTAACCGACTACATCATGATCCCTTGGGTGCGTGAACACATTTTCTCCCTCTCCTGGTGGGAAATAAAAACTTATGAGACAGCAAAACTATTGATAGTTGCACGTTTTAAGCTGAATGCGAGATGAGTGTAAAATGGAATGAGATCTAGGTAGCTTTGTTACTGACTGAGATCAGCTGATTTTTCAGCCACAACCATTTACTAAACACCCGATGTTCTCAAGGACAACTGGACCCAGTTTTGAACCCTAAAAATTTACAACTCAATTTACAACTAAGTGTATTTTAATTCACTAACCAGCAGGGCCGTCCCTAGGGTTTGTGGCGCCCGGAGCAAATGTGGTCGTTGCGCCCCCTTCCCCCCAGTAAAAGTCGCATTCACATATTTTAATACTATGTTAATACAAATAGCCGATGCGCGGCGCCCCCTCAGCCGCGTCGCCCAGGGCAACTTGCCCCGGTTGCCCCCCCCTTCGGACGGCCCTGCTAACCAGCGAACAGTTTAAAATGGGGATGGAATGTCTAGTTTTATCAATAGTCAAAGATATTCGTCAATAACACACTGTTAAGAAGACAAAAGTCTGTAAAAACATCAACTGTTTTTTAATCATTCAAATGTTATATTTTTGCTTACAATTTTACAATTCAACAAAAACATAGGCAACTGAAATTCCTTTGAAAGTTTAAGTAATTTTTAATTACTACCATTATATAATATTTACTTCTCAATAGGTACTGTGTTAGTACAATAATTTATGTTTGACTTGTGTATATTTGAACAAAGATAAGAAAGTATCATGCCGCTAAAGTTGATATCTGTGGGAATTGATAATATTTGTAACTTCTAAATCAAAGTTCACAGACTCTTAGTTGCTTTAGTCGCTTCTATGATAACTTTTTAGGAGTGTGTTAAAAACTTGCTGCTCTCAATTGAATTTTATCATGACCCTTAATTTTCAGCTATGCAGCTGATTACAATAATTTTTTGTTAAAGTTCTTGGTTGTTTTCCAACATTATAAAAAATGAGCAGAGACAATGTTTTTCATTTTTTAAACACAATAGTTATTTGTGCAACTAGTGAGAAAAGTGAGCAATTGACTCACTCGAGAGAAATCCTTACTCACGAGCCGTAGGCGAGTGAGGAATGGTTTCTCGAGTGAGGCAATTGTACTTTGAACTCGAGTTGCACATTATACTTTTCCTACAGTTACCATAAAACAAAAACATTTGTGAAGAAACATGAACAAACATAACCTATTTTTACACAGAAGTGAACTTTTAATATAATATTTAATGTGAAGTGACAAATACAACAGTACAACAGCTGACCAGCTGATTTACAGCCAGTGCTGCCAACGTATTTCGCGCGCATACGACGTTGCCTGCATGTTACGCGCTCACTATTTCGTGCATTCACGTTGCAAATCTGGAGTGAGACAAAGTATTTAGAGTGAGACAATGTTAACATTGTCTCACTGGTGAGCGAATTGGCCACTTTGCTTTCTCAAATCAGTGAGAGGACATGTACATTGTTAGGTAACTGTAGGAAAAATCTATTCTCAGCGCTCAATCTATTAGCTAAAAAATTACTTAAGTAATGAAAACACATGCAAGATAGAACTTGTATAGCAAACCCTAGCAATTGGCACAGACAAATGAAGCTTTTTCATCTGCTATAACAATGAGTGCTTAAGCGATGGCTCTATCCACTTTAGTTCACACACTTTAGTTGTGAACAATTTAGTTCAAGAACCCTGCTATGATTAAAATAAACAGTATTTGTATAAACAATGCTTTAGGGTTTCGCAGTAAGGTTCATTATAAACAGACAATAAATCTTCTGTTTCATTAAACAGCAGTGGTTTAACATTTCTTCTACAGGAAGTGTAACTACAGGAATTGCATATCCAAAAGTTTACATATCAAACGGAAACATTATAGGGAATTTTACCCAATTTATTTTATATGCAGCATACAAATAATGTGACACAAGGTAGGTAGTTATTCACCATTACTAGTTTTTACTAGTTTTCAAATCGATATGTCAACACAAGTAGTGTTTTCCTCAGTGCCTTTCCTCTCAGTCCATTTACCAATTGTTTGATCTAGATGGCGGTTGCAGATAAAACAATTTTATTCTGATACATCTGTGCCACTTAAACATGTATGCCAATAGCTCAATCATTTATAATTGCTATTGACAAGTATCAACAATATTGGACCAACATTTTGGATATGAAACACACGAAAGAGAGAAAAACTAACTCCAAAATGAATTATACAAGAGAGCTGTTCTGCCTTGCTATCTGTTAAACTACAGTTACGTTACCCTGGTAAGGTGTGGGTCGTACATGTCTCATGTCAGAGGTAGGCATGAGAGGAGTGGAGCCTGTAGGGTCCAGCAGGAGCCATGTACAGTTCCCTGACAAGTTCTCCAAGTCAAACAGCTGTCCACCATGTTGGCACTGAGGAAAAGAAGAACAATTTTTATCACATAGTTCTAAAGATGCAGTAAAGAAGCAAAAAAGTAAAATAACATCTACCGGTATATAGGGCAGACTGCAATTTTAAACTCAAATGTATCTCTAAATACCCCCCGCTGCAGCAAACCTGCAGACTAAGCGAATTTCCTTTAGCCTGATTGGATTTACACTAAAATGCCTCCTTAAATATATCACATTTATTCCCTATTTAATTAGAATTAGTTTAACGAGTACTTCGGTTTGCTGCAACAGGGAGGGTAAAAAAGTGTTGTTTGTAAAATGTTAATAGTTTAGTAAGAAATTAATATATTTTACAAAATCGATCAAAATATGTGATGTGGAAAGCGAATAGGGACCTCTTGTCGGGAATTTTCCATTTTGAGTTATATACATATTTGAATTCCTTATTAAATTCTGAATCACTAGGTGCAAGTCCCATGCATCTGCGATTTTTGTGTTTAAGTTATAGGACTTTGAAATTTTGTTATGGAAAAGGGTCGTTTTGAGAAAACCACTTTTGAAAATTTCAAGTACGCATTAAAACAGTTTTTTTTTTTGTATTTAAGAAGAGATTTTGGTATCAAAAGAAAGCTTATATGGAGCAAAACCAATATTTGTCTTAACTCTCGATAGTTTTCATTTAAATTATTGTTTTATAGAAGCATGTCGTAAAAATCGCATTTCAGAAAAGAGACCTCTTGTCGGCCCTATGTGTTTCGGCCCTATTTTTTGGACTAAAATATGTTTATAAAGTGAATATTAAAAATGGGACCTCTTGTCGTTATGGCGAAATAACATTGAGCGACAAGAGGTTCCTTCTCTCAGACCGTGCAGAGGCTAACAAAATGATTTATTTTGACCTTATGTCTTCAATTCGATATTTTTACCGATACTGTCCTGTTGTATGATAAATGAGGCATAACAATCGATAACAACCCGAATTTCAATATTTTCTACCTTAATTACTTAAATCGGCCGTACTGAAAATTTTGCATCGCCGACAAGAGGTCCCTTTTCGCTTTCCATATCACATATGTTCATAAACAAGCAAACTACAACAGTTGACTTATTCTCCATAAAAATAACATGGGAATTTTAAATTTACAATTTTTTTGAATTTTCTCCGTAACCATTAGGCGCACAATAACGCTTAAATATACTGTACTAAATCATTTGTTTTTTTTAAGCTCTACAAAATGGTTTGGCAAGAAATTGTAAAATTTTGTGTTTTTAGGGTCAAAAATAGGAAAAACCTATTTTTACCACATAAAACCTCCCATAAACCCCCGTTCCCATATAGTTCGATCATGCTGGATCGCAAACTCGTTCAATAAATGTATGTTTACAAGTTTATACAAAATTTAATCAAAATCGGATAATTTTTACTTTAGTTATCCTAGGTCTTACCATGAGTACTACGGTAATAGCTTATTCCCTAGGCTATGGGAAATTCGCTAAAATCAAACAAAGCAAGTTTCACATGGTTCCAAATAAGGTTTATAAACATTTTGTAGGTTAAGTGGGTTTTAAATGGTTGCTTATTATTGTATTTGATGGAAGTGGAAGTTCAAGATATGCAAGAAGCCACTCATCCTACACTCATCTCCATTCATACTGGGCTTAAAATACATATTTCGTATGGTTGCCATGAAAAGTATTAAAGTATTGATACAAGAAGAATCAGCTGATGAATTAATCAGACTTATGTCATGCAACAAAAATATCATACTGTACTAGGTATTTGAACAAGTTAACTATTATAAGTAACTGTTTTGTATTTTTAGTTCTGTATAAATTAATATTGCCATTACATGTAGTAATTTACGACACGGTTGAGTTATTGTTGATCCTATTTTATTCAACATATATAATTTACAGTAAGCAAACTATTTTCTAAACTTACCAAAGAGCTGTTTGTTATATTATCCATTAAACTGACACATGTACTCTCAATGAAGGACCAATACGTACTATCTGTTGCAACTGTGTTACAATTATTAGTTTTCATTTATATAAATCCAGGATTAGTTTATTATCTTGCGCCAATTCAGATAACGGAAGTACTTAAGTTAGAACTAAACAGCTATGAAACATGTGAACATTAGAATTACACTTTAATTGGTCAGTTTATCTTTATAAACATTGAAATCCATATTTCTAATCACGTTAGAGAAAAACTAAAGTTTACACTGGTTAACGAAATAAGTTATGAACAATTATTATTTATTTACTGGTACATATTAAATAATATACAACCATTAATGAAAATTAGGTAGCCCTACTACATAATTATGTTTGTGGTCTATATTTTTTCTTTTGGTTAAACATTTTTTAGTTAAAAATTGTGAAATCAAAAATTACTTTCAGAGTTATATAACAGCTAACTTATGCAAATAAACTGTTATGCTTCAACCAACTGATCCTATTTGCGGCTACTCTTCTAGTAATCTTATTTATTTATCAACCTCAAAACACATTGTTGCCTCCAATCCGCAAATTTAAGCAATATTTTTGGCTTCAATCATTGATTGTCTCACAGATACTCTCAGACATGAAAGCCAGAGGAATTCTATCAATAATAAGAGATTTGAGAAGTCTCAGGAACGACCTTGATAGCAAGACCTTGCCACTCTCTCTTGTAGACTTCCTTATAACTGTCTTTCTCAGGATACTTCAGTAAGTGTCTACAGCTAGCATCTACAGCATATCGTATCTATAGCTATAGCTTCATAATAGCCAATCAGTTTTTTAGTAAAATTTAATAGTCTTTAAAAAATCTCCATTATTACTTGCAATTAATGAATACACAACATTGTAAATCAGATAGTAATTATTCATTTTCATAAGAGATTATATTTATATGTAAACTAAATATTCTGTAAAGTAACATGTATATTTAATAAAAGTACTCTTTACATTTTTGTAGAATAGAATGGTGTTTAGGGCGAGAAAACGTTCAATGTACGTAAGGTATTGATTTAAATGATATTTTTTAGTTTTTCTAGTAAAAAGTTTATAATCCGGCATAAGATGGTTTTCTTTTGTACAGTTATTTAGTAAAATTTGGGTGATGGACTACCCTACACTCTTGTATTTTAGATATAATTTACATAAATGATGTATATTTAAAATTATGTAATGGCTGTATACATTGATTGGAACAATTAGTTATGAGGCTTGTTTGAGTATAAATAATAAACTGATCTTAAAAATTGGTATGGATATTAATTTGATAATAAAGTAAAAACTTGAGTTCTAATATTTGTTGTAATTAGTTACCTACCTCTAAAGTATCTTAGTAGCCTCTTCATAAAAGTATCATTCTAAAATTATAGTAAATGTGAATTGTTATCTAATACTTAAAAATGTTTAATACTTTTAATTTGAAATGGCGAACATACAAATATAGGTATTTTAAGCCAAGTATGAATGGAGTTGAGTGTAGGATGAGTGGCTTGTTATCTAATATTATACTTGTTTTATTGCCCTTCAACCTATTTTTTTACCCTTTTGTTGCAAGTAATACACTTTATTAACATAGCATTTAAATTAATAACTTAGGTTAGGTTCCTACCTAAATAATCCCAACTTATGGATTAATTAAAAATGGGTTAAATAAAAAATGTTCCTAGTAAAATGAGATATTTGAACAGTATATTTACAAACAGCTGATTATTAAATATTTTATCTGGTGCATAACTATCAATAAGCAAGATGAAATCTTTAGTAGGCCTATTAGAAATTGTTATGAACTACCTTCAAGGAAGGGACAACAAAAGAAAGATTGGAACAGTATATTTACAAACAGCTGATTATTTAAACTTTTATTGCCAATTACTATCAATAATAAACAAGCAATGAAACAAACTACATAAGGATCTTAAGAAAAGCGAGCTCATTTGTAGGACTAAACTTGTGTGTATTGTAACCAAAATGTAAAATGAAAAATATGTTTTGTGAATTTGTACAATATATAATAATTTTCCAGAACTAAAATCTTAACACTGTTGGTTAAATCCATCAGAAAAAAGTTAGTATAGTTCTTTGAAGGGTCAAAACTGGGCTCATCAGCTGTCCTTACTGGACTTTAACCAACAAAACCTAAAATCAGCTGATCTTAGTGTGTTAAAAGGCATTTCAACATACACTAATTTTCTATCTATTAGCACCATCTATCTATATATAAAATCCAATGTATGTTTGTCCTTTATGGACTCCAAAACCGCTCGACAGATTGTAATGAAACTTTCAGGCATTATTAAGCATTATTCAAGGATGGTTTGTGTGAAGTTTGGTGCAGATCCGTCAATAGGGCTCCGCCCCAGTGGCTGTGGAGTTTCCCATGTTAACCTTATGAGTACTCATATTTAAATGGAATTAAAGAATCTTAACAGCTGGTGCAACTAAACAATTTGATTCTGTGATGTTCAATAGCATTAAAAAGTTAATAGGTTTACCAACAGGGTGCAGCACTATATTTATTTTTAATTTATGAGAACAGTTAATTTGCAACCAAAAGGTGAGTGAGCGTAGCGAACGAACTTCAACCTGGAGGCGAGGTAGCGTAGCGAACGAGCTAACCTGAAGGCAAGTGAGCGCAGCGAACGAGCTCCAACCTAAAGGTGAGTGAGCGTAGCGAACGAACTTCAACCAGGACGTGATTGAGCCATGCAAACGAGCATGTGACATAAAACCACAATAGGACAGGACGACGTATGTCGGGCCAGCTAGTTCTATATATAATTCAGTTTTGAAAATCTTTGTACAACTAAATCTAGAGTTCTACTGGACCGATTTTATTGATTAATGGATCGTTGGAAAGCTTAATTCGTGTAGATTTGCAAATAATTATGAAAGTTGGTTTTTGTTATGATTTATGGTGAAAAATTTCAAAAAATCATGTTTTCCATAAGAAATACATTGAAAACGGTGTTTTTCACACTTTTTATTTGGGTGAGACTTTTGGCTGCCTTTTTGAGTGT